CTTGTCATTTGCAAACACAGTTTACGATTGCGGAGAGTGGTTTGCGGTTTGCACCACACGCTGCCACCACACAGCGCCCCGTCGTCGACCGCCCCCTCCGCCCCCTCTGCCTTTTCCGCTACGTCCCATCTCCCGAACCGCGCGTCCTTTAGTCAAATGTCAACTGAATGTTTCAAATCGGTTGAGGAAATAAATTACACGACCGCTGAGAAGGGGCGTGCGAGAGAGGCGGCCGAGCTTAAGGAAGATAAATCGAAGGATGGCCAGCCGCCCCCCCCCCTCCCCCCACGGTCTGTTCCGTCACCGTGCCCTCACATCCCCGAGCCACATCACGCCGGAAAATTTAAAGCTCCCTTCAGGGCAGACGCTGCCGTCGTCAAAGTGATGATCGACACCCAGCCGCGCACCCAGCGAAACCGCACGGCACATGTAGAATCCGAGGAGAAAACTCGATCGCTGCCGAGCAGCGCAACCGTGGCAAATCAAAACAGACCTTCTATTAGGATTATAGGAGGTTATTATGTTGATTATCGGGGAATATTGGGGATTATTCGAGCGCCGAACTCGGAAAGCTGTTAAAATGTCGGAAATTCAATATTGGTGACTTTGGGCAGCCACTGCGTCCAATTTAGTTGCGGTCAAAGGCCTCCCTCGACGCCTTACTATTCTGAAGACCCTGCTCTTTTATGCCCCGCCTCGGGAAGGCTTTGACCGCTGATAGTTTGGGAGCAGTGGTCTCGCAAAAATGGTCAAAAAGTGAATGAATGTCATAAAATCACCGTTTTTGCTGACTTTGAGCGGTCACTGCATTAAATTTAGTTGCGGTCAAAGGCCTCCCTCGACGCCTTACTATTCTGAAGACCTTACTCTTTTATGCCCCGCCTCGGGAAGGCTTTGACCGCCGGTAGTTTGGAGGCAGTGGTCTCGCAAAAATGGTCAAAAAGTGAATGAATGTCATAAAATCACCGTTTTTGCTGACTTTGAGCGGTCACTGCATTAAATTTAGTTGCGGTCAAAGGCCTCCCTCGACGCCTTACTATTCTGAAGACCCTGCTCTTTTATGCCCCGCCTCGGGAAGGCTTTGACCGCTGTTTGGAAGCAATGGTCTCGCAAAAATGGTCCAAAGTGATTGAATCCCCCCCGAAAGTATGATTGTCATTTCATTGGATGATGATGATTATTTCACCGATTACCAAAGACGTGCAATGATTATCTTGAGTTGGGTACCCCTTGGGGCGCGTGGTTAACAAACGACCCCACTTGAACCCGAAACGATAGGCAAGGCAACGAGCAGGACGGGCGTTCGGGGCTCCGGCGTCAGGATGGTTACATAACGTTGCCTGTCTGTTTCCGATGATGGAAGCGGACGCCGTGATGGATGATTTGGAAGGGGATCTAGCTTGTGTCCGCGCGGCGCTCTGCCTCATCATTGCCTCATTCAATAGTAAACCGAGGCCGCCCCCTCCGGTCTTCTGGCCCACTGTGGGGAGGTCCTTCGGAATCGGGGAGACGCCATACGCCAGCCGGCCGGAAGGGCACCGGAAGGGGGATCCTTCCGCCGCGGTCCTCCTTGGCGCCAAACCGGGACCGCCTGCCAACTGAACGGCGCTTCCCTCGCTCTGTCTCTCTCGCGCCCCTACGGCACGCCCCGCTAGTGCGAGAGAGACAGAGCGCCGTGTGCCCACTGAGAATCATGTCCGAAGTCCGAAGGAGCGGCTGAAGCGCGAGGGCGGTTTCGCCGGGTTTCGCCGAACTCACACACTTTTCACGGCTCACTCCGGGAGCAGCGGGACTGGGCTTGGGCTTATCCGCAGCGTCCGCCGCGGCGCCCCACCTGAGGCGGCCCGGTGCCGGCTCAGCCGAGGGGGCTGCGGCGGGGCGGGGCGGGGCGGGGTGGGGCGGGGTGGGGTGGGGCGGGGGCGTCAGGTGTTCAAGTCATGGAGTGCGTGTGGCTGGAGGGCCAGGGAAAGGCGCCAAGAGTAGCTCCAATATTGATTATCGCGTCGGGGTGGAGGCTCCAAGGCTCCAAGGCTCCAAGGCTTCGGGGCTCCAAGCCTCGAAGCGCTGTTGTCACTTACCGCCGATAGCGAGACACGCACGTATTATATTGAGGAGCCCCCGCGGCCCCCTCCGGCCGTCCGATCCCTGCCCCGCCCCGCCCCGACCGCCTGCACCGTTCTGCGGCCGCGCAAGAAAAATGGTTCCCCGCCAGGCGCGGGCAGGCGTGGGGCACGGGGTGTGGGGCGGGGTTGTCTTGGCGGACTCTATCGAGGGACGGGTAATGGAGACTGACGATGGCTGCCTCGCTGCGTCACACTACTACACTGGAACGGTCGAGGCGCTCCGATCCATCCAGGTGGCCGTGGGCGGAGGCGGCCGCACGCGGTGCGCTGTGCCATGCATGCGCGCCGGCAGTGTAAACACAACCAGAATTAAACCACAACTTCTCTCGCTGCGACAACACCGCACTGCCCGCGCGCGCGACGCTTTCAGAAGAGTGCCCGCGGCTCTTGGGGCGCGCGCTGGGCGCTCGGCGTGGCCATGCAGGCCGCGCGCCGCATGCCGTCCAGCCTACCTCCATTTCACGCATCACGCCCAAATAAAACTTGAAGTGTCTGGCGGGCAGGGCGCGGTGGCGCGGTCCGGGCCGCCATTGTCCTCGGAAAGAAAGGTTTTCGTTTGGTATTGTCCTGCCGCCGTGCCGCCCTGCCTGCCGCCCTGCCCGCCGCACGGCGTGCTTGCGGTGCTGTTTGCTGCCAGCGGCGTGCTAAACCGCCGTGCCGTGCCGTGCCGTGCCCTGCCCTGCCGCGCCACGCGAGCGCGGCCGGGTCACCGTGAGCACCGTGAGTGGCTGTGTGGGCCCTGGCGGCCCTGGCGGCCCCGGTCGGTCGGTGTACACTGTACACGGCGCGTTGTTCGCGGGACCGCCGCCAGAGAGCGCTGGCAGGGCCAGCAGGGCTGGCTGGCAGGCCACGGCACGCTGGCAGCGACAATGGGCCTCTACAATGGCGGGGCTCGGCCGGGCGTGCCGCCTTGCCGCCTTGCTGTGCATGCGAGCCCCTGTCACATATTCGTAAATAAAAGGCATAAAGAGTTTAGGCCCGTGGCACGCCACGCCACGCCGCACCGCACCGCCATCATCGTAGAATGAAGTGTTTCCGCTGCTGCCTGCCTCGGTGTTTCTCGTCAGGTACGCCCCCGCCCCGCCCCCCGGCTGCTCGGTGTTTGTCTTTGAAACAGGCAGAAAGGGTGAAAGAGAGCCCCACTCGAGGTCGTTTCCGAAGGCAGTTCCACGGAGTAGGCACTGCAGGCACTGCACACGCGCAACGTACTGGGCGGAGCCGTGGCGGCCGTGGCGGAGCGCAGGTGCTTTCCCAGGGTTTCCTTCTTTTCCCCTTCCACGACGTGCGGCGAGTGGAGCGCCCCGCCCCGGGAAAGCACGTGCACAGGCACGCGTGGCGCCAAATAAATCCACCCCAATCGCAGCGACAAAGTGCGTGCGAGCGAGCGGCTCCTTAGCATTGCTAATCTAACAGTGTCCGCGGGAGGCTGCTGCGCCTGGCTGTACGAAACCGGGAAAAAACTGAGGATAAAGTAAAAACGGGGCGGAGCAAGGAAGGAGCGAGGCGCGCAGTGACACGATTCGGCACTCGTCAAAGACTTATGGCGGCTGGCGGCAGGCAGGCCATGGGCAGGCCATGGGCAGCGCCTGGATTTATGCTACTTGAGAGTTTACATACGTGATGAGGGGACGTTCGGTGTTCGGCCCTCACGTCCTGTCGCCGGCAGGCGAGGCGGGCACGGCGGCCAAGTCGGGCGAGGCGCGGGGCGAGGCACGCGGCGTCCCGACCAAGGTCCCGACGACCCCGCCAGCCGAGCGGAGCGGCGCGGCCTGGACCGGGTCGGCGCTGCAGCGGACGCTGCGGACGGAGCCCAAGCACCCCGAGAAGGAGCCCTCGTCCTCACTGGACCCAACCTCTGCCCCCGGTCTGGTCGGGTAGGTGCACGAGGCGAGGCACGAGGGCCCCCTTGGCCTGCCCGCTGCAGTCTTTGACGTGTGCCCCGGAACGGCCCGGAACGGCCCACAGTGGGCCAGAAGACCAGTAGAGGCGGCCAAAACTCTAGACGCGTTTTGAGCTCCAGTCGCTAAATGGGACTCGAACCGAACGTGTAAAACCACCAATGGATTCCTCGTTCGGAGAGCATTCCATTGGTGGGGTCACACGTTCAGTTCGAGTCCCATGCAGCGACTCTGGAGCTCAAAACGCGTCTAGACTTTTGGCCGCTTCCACCGGTCTTCTGGCCCACTGTGCGGCCCGGAACGGCACGGCCAAAAAGAGCGACGGACAAAGGGCGCGCACGACGCGTCACCACGCCGATGACGTCATCCGCCCCATTCTGCCGCCTTATCCGCGCCTTTTGGGGCTTTGCAGGGGGCGCTCTGAAATTCCGCAGCTTTTGTGTGCCAGGCGCCCCGGCCGGCCCGACGGCGGTGATGGGTGCCGGGTGTCCGCCGTGTCCGCGTTGTCCGCGCACCGCGGCCCCCGGCCCCGGCGGCGCCGCCAATGCCCCCAGCTGGAGGCCGCCACGCAAACCGACGCGTCAACTCCGACGACCTCAGCGACCGCCCTCCCCGCCGTCCACGCCGCGGGCTCCACCGCCACCGGCCCACCGGCCCCACCGGCCCCACCGCCACGGGCCCACGGCTGAGGTTGGTGGCTTGGTGGTGGGCTCGCGGCTTCATGCGGCGTGCCAGGCAGGCAGCCCGCAGCCAGCGGTGTGTGGCGGGTCGGCCCGCCCTGCGGTTGGCAGGCGCTGGGCCCGTTCGCCCCAAATGACACGGGGTGACCCACTCTACCATTTTGCGCACAATCATTGTGGGAACATGCTGGGAGATGTCTGCTGTGTTTGCCACACATTTTGCCCACATTACGGTTTTTGACGCTGAATGTAGAACGTGTCATGACAAAATTCATTAGAGAGTAGTTGCCCTTCGCCAAATGTTTATATTGCCGTAATTTGCGCGCGACTAATTTGCACAATATTTCGCTCACGCAACTTGACGTAACCCGAACCGCCTCTCACAGACTCTCTCCGGCGCGCTCATTCCTCTCTTTTATTCCAGCTTCTAGCTCTCTTTTCTCCAGGAGACTGGAGCGGTGCCGCCTGGGGAAGGACGCCGGCGAGGCGCAAGGTGAAGCTGGGCTAGCTGGGCTCGCTGGCGGGGCCGGCGGAGCAGGTCAAGAAGTCCGTGAAGCCGCGCCGTCTCGGCCGACGGTGGCGCGCGGTGTGAGCTGCAGCCTGCCGCAGCCCGGCGGGGGCCTGCTGCTCAAAGGCACACTGGAACAGGTGAGACAGCAGCCTGATTCCGAACAGTGCCCTCGGCGCTCTGTCTCTCTCGCTCTCGTGGGGCGCCCGGCAGGGGCGTGAGAGAGACAGAGCGACAAAGCCCTGTTCGGAAAAAAGACGGGGCGATGACACGACGCCGCATTTCCTTCGCGTCTTAACACGATTGCCTCCTCCGTTGCAGGTTGGCTGGGCAGCGAGCGGCAGTAAGTCTCTCTCCTCAAGGTTGTGTGTCCACTCTCTGGCCCTCTCTGGCACTCTCTGGCCCTCAGCCATTCAATTTATTTACTTATTCATTCGCTTCGTGGAAGAGCCACAGTGATTATTGTGCGAAGCTGGTTCTGGTTTACCGCTCTGCTCTCCAGATCACTGTCGGAAAAAAGTTACTTCAAATCGACTAAAACTTCGGGATCTGGTCGATTCCATCGGCACACTCACTGAAAATGAAATAGCCAAATCACAGTCGAGTGGACGTAACTTTCGTTCTACAGTGATCTCTCCGGCAGAGAAGTAAATCGTATAGGTGTAAGTTTCAGGCCGGAAAAGGGCAGCGACGGCAGTGCCGACGACTCCGACGACGCCCCCGCCTCGGTGGACACCGAGGTGGACACCGAGACCGACTCCAAGGCCGAGGCCAGGCGGACCCCCAGCACCGCCACCGTCGCCCACCCTCGGCCCAACCCTCGGCCCAACACTCGGCCCAGCGCGCAGCTCTCTAGGGTACAGTAGTAACAGTGCGCCCGCGTTTGGCACCACCAATCGTATCCCACTGGGAAAAGGAGAGAGACGAAACCAAGGCCAGATGAAACTGTCTCTTGTTTCTGTTCCGTAAACTCCTGGTCGGCGCGAGGAATAGTCGCAATGACTGCGGGTGTTTGTACCTCGGCCGGCTTGAGCCTTTCCCACTTGGCTGCAGCCTCTCCCCTTCACTGGGCGAGTGGACGCGAGCCGCGCCAGGATACGACCGTGGAAGGGCAGCGGCATCGCAGCAGTCCGGTCGACTGGCCGAGTCGGCAGCGCGCTCCAGTGGGCGAGGCGCAGTGAGAGCCGCCCTCGAAGCCGACTGCGGGCACCCGTCCCCGCTCCTACACCCGCCGCCGCCCCCGCCCCCGGAGTCAGAGAGCGCAGTGCGGGCAGAAGGCGCATCGGGGCGGTCATCCGCGCCGGCGACGGACTGGAGGACGGTGCGGGACCAGCTAAAGCAAGTGCGTCGAAAAATAGTCAAAAACAAGTCTGCGTTGTTGGTGCATGGCGAACAAAGTTGGCAACACTTTCGACAGTGGGAGGTTTATGCCTCCGAGGGTAAATGGTGAATGTGTGCGCGCGCGCGTCCAGATGTTCCAGTTCTTCTCCAAGAACTCTGTCGAGCTGAAGCCAGCGCTCGGGGGGCGGCGGCGGCCGTGCCCAGGGTCGTGCGCTTCGCCCGGCGAGGGCCCTCCCGCACGCGCGTGCACGCTCGGACCAACACGTGGCACCAGCGCCTGTCCGCGGCCAGGGACGTCGCGGACGTCGCGGACCCCGGCCGTCGTCGTGCGCCGGCCTGGGCTGGGGCACCGGCGTCGGCCCCCGGCAGGGCCTCGGCGTTCGCTGCACGGGCTAAGCCGGCGGACGGCGTCCAGCACGTTGTCCAGCACGGCCTCCAGCACGGCGCCCAGCGCGGGGCGCCGCTCCGCCCCCTCCCTCCACTCAGCAGGGCTCGGGGCGAGGTCGACCTCCGAACTCGGCCTTAGGTAACGGATTCACATTTCCGCCCGCGAGTCGCTCTCCTGTCACTACGTTGACCACACCGTGTGTCTCGGGTAGGCTACACTGGTGGGAATCGCGCTGCCCGGCACTGCGCAGCGCATCCCCTCGTATCCTGTGAATAATTGAGAAAGCTTTGGTCTGCCGCCGCCAGATGGCGGCGCTGTGAGGAGAGCGGCGTGCTCCGCGGGCTGTTCCTCTCCCATCCCGCCCCGCCCGCGCCGCCCGCGCTGGCGCTGCAGCAGGTCCAGACTCACCCCGAGAGTCGTTTTCGTCGCTCTGTCTCTCTCGCACCCACAGAGATCGTCCCATGAGTGCGAGAAAGACAGAGCGACGAAAACGACTGCGAAATGAAGCGCTACCTTGAAATCCGTCCCCTGCACCGATTTCAGTCATTCATTTGATGCCTTTTTGCAGGTTTTCGTGGCGTTCCCTGTGTTTCGCACTCCGCTGCCGGACGGCGGAGTGTCCTTCTCGTTTGCGAACGCACCGGACGCGCCGACCCCGATGGAGGTAATAGATGATGTCTGATCAACGTGTTCGAGGCCACTAGGAAGAACGTGGATGGCAGCCCTGCCCGCTCTCGGCTGCTCTGTTCCACAGGTCGATCCGAGCCCGCCCACGTTTTCCGCGTCTGACTTCGTGTACCAAATAATGCAGGTAATTGTGAAAGTTCGGTATTGCACTCATCAATGATTCAGTCGTGGCGAATTTGGTGTGCGGTCCGCGGTAGCTCCGCCTCTATCTCTGTTCTCGTTCCGCCTCCCTCCCCTTTCACCCCACACGTGGCGCTCCCAAATTGATTCTTTAACTTGCGCTACCTTGTACAGTTCCCCCACCCCCTCTCGACTTAGCAATATTCTCCCGATGCCTTCCAAGCTGCATCCCTATTGCCTCCAGATGAACGCCACGCAACTCGAACAGCAGTTCATGCAGCAGCAGCAGCAACTGCAATTGCAGCAGCTGCGCGATCAGGAGCGGCTGCAGTTCCTCCAGCACCAGATGCAGCACCAGCAGATGCAGATGGTGCAGCAGCAGCTGCAGCGGCACCTCGAGGAGCAGCAGTTCATTCAAATGCAGCAGCAACAGCAACAGCATATCGAGGAGCAGCAGTTGATTCAAATGCAGCAGCAGCAGCAGCAGATGCAGGAACACCCGTGGCTGCTGCAGCCCACCATGACGGAGCAGCCGCCGCCGCCGCCTCAGGATCGCGTCGTTTTCACTGAGGTGAGCCTCGGGCCTTGGGACTGAGGCCGAACAGCGTTTCGCCGCCGTCTCTCTCGCACCCCTACGGAGCGCCCACTGAGTGCGACAGGGAAAGAGAGCCGCGCCTGGCCAATTGATGAGATGCCCTGATTGGACCGCAGTGGACCTTGGTGCTGCACTACAAGGCGTCGCAACGGCTCGTCGAACGACCGATCGGGCGGATCGAGTACGCCCCGCTGACGCCGGAGCCCGGGCCGGCACCGCCCGCCAGGGACTCGGCCCCCGCCGCCCCAGCCCCCGAGACCACCCCGTCGCGCCGCTCCCCACCCCCGTGTTGCCCCTGGCCCAGCGCGCCCAGCGCCTCGGAGGGCGACATCGTGGACGAGGACTACGACGTGTTTTAATAATGCCGCCCCCTCCTTCCTGCTCCGTTGTTAGCTCGTGTTTTCAGTGGTTTTTCTTTTTTACGGTGCTCCTACTAGTATGTGTTTTGTATAACTTGTAGCCCAGTTACTCGTTTAGTGTTCGTGTTTTAATTCTTTGACTGTGTTTTGTAAGTGATGTCATTGCATTAAAGTGAAACAATGCGCGTGACACCGACTGTTCGACAAGCGTGTCGGAAGTGTAGCCTACCTACCGGCGCCCATGTTGCCTGGGAGGTAGGCATCCCATCACACGACTTGCCCCACACTGCAAAGATTTGCAGTCACTTTAACGACACCACAGAGGTCGCCTCGCCTCCTTGGACCGTTTGCGTGCGACCCATTGAATATTGAATGCTCTTGCCCGGACAGGCTCGCTCTCCGAACTTACCCGATTGGCCGAGCGGTTGGGTTCCCCGCTACCTTTCGACCAATCCGAGACAGGCTTGTCGCTAAGGCACGTCGTATGTTCGTGTGAGGAATACTCGTTGACGTGGCGGTGTTGAGAGTGAGTGAGCTGGCTGCGCTGGTTAACACGTGCTGCTACTCCGTCTTTGCTCTCGGTGCAGAACTGGTGGAACCCGTCTCGCGTCACTGCACTGGACTCACTGGCGGGGCGGAGGCCCCCTGCCCTGTAGACTGATTCGAGAGTCGTTTTCGTCGCGCTGTCTCTCTCGCATTCCGAGGGCGTCCCGTGTAGGTGCGAGCGAGACGGAATCAGTCGGCTGGCCCGAGGGACCGGTCCCGGTCCCCATCCACGGCGATACCCCCCGCCTCTCCGCCCACGCCTCTGTCGCGTCGCCTTCGCGCCGCCCGCCGCTTCGCGCCACCGGTCAGGCGTCGGCGTCAGGCGGTCACCGAGCGAAAGCATTTCTCCGCTCGCGACAGCAGAGAGAGCGGGGCGCCAGGCCGTCAGGACACCGAACAGTCAGTTTTTCGTGATAACGGTTCCCTTCATACGCAGCCCTCAGATAAACTGGCCGGGTAAACAACGCGACCCCGCGGTGCCCTGTGTGCTAACACCAGCTAACGAGACCGAGAAGCAAAGGCGTCCTCCGCAGCAGTGTAGCAGTCACCCGACAAACGATCCCCTGTCAACACGGTCCGCCCGTCTAGCTCGGCGAGAAGACTAGGCAATCGAAAATGGCAGAAACTGTCGGCATCGTTGGAAGGTAAGCAGGCGTCGAGCGAGAAACGCTAGTTGATCTACGATTCGCGGAAACATCATTATGCTGGCGCCAAGGGAAGGGCGTAGGGTGGCAACGTTGGTGATCTGGCAGCGTTGCCCAAGTCTCTTTCGTTTCCATCACTTTTTCATACTCTCCTGTTTCCGCTTCCTCTCTGGATTTGAAATACGCGGTGAAGTGTCCAGTGCAGAGAGGTTATCATTCCTGTGCTGATGCTGTTTTTTTCGTGTGCAGTGGCCTCATCGGCCGAAGCTGGGCCATGCTGTTTGCTGGAGCTGGCTACAAGGTGCGGCTGTTTGATATCCTACCCGAACAGGTTCAATCTGCCCTGGCTGAAATAGAAAAGCAGTTGTACGAGCTTGAGAAATCTAAACTTCTGCGTGGTTCAAGATCGGCAAAGGAGCAGGTAGCTCTTATTTCAGGTAAGTGTTGTGAATGAAAGCAGCAGCACATCCAAATACATCATTAAATTTTGAAAGTCACAACTTGGTTTCAATTTTATTTTCAGGAACATCCAGTTTGAAGGAATGCGTTTCAGGTGCATTGCTTGTGCAAGAATGCACGCCCGAAGTACTTGCTATTAAATTGAAAGCACTCAAGGACTTGGATGTAGTTGTGGAAGCACCAACCATCATTTCAAGCTCAACCTCAACCCATATGCCATCTGTTTTGAGCAAGGATATGAAGAACAAAGAGAGATTCATTGTTTCCCATCCTGTGAGTAGCCTTGATTGTACTGATGTCCATTCTGATAAATATTTCTTCGACTTACTGAGAAATTAATCTAGGTTAACCCACCATACTATGTCCGAATGGTCGAAATAGTGCCAGCACCTTACACTGAAAGCTGGGTCCCACAGAAGGTTCGGTCTATCATGCAAGAATTGGGTCAGGTTCCAGTTTCTTTGAAGAAAGAAGTACCTGGCTTTTCTCTCAACAGAATTCAGTAAGGTCCCTTCCATTCAATCTTATAAGTTAGTTATGTTTGATTTTTCAATTAAGTAAGTTTTCTAGGTATGTCATCCTCAATGAAGTGTGGCGTCAAGTGGAAGAGGGTGTTCTGGATGTAGCGGATGTTGACAAGGTCATGTCTGAGGGCCTTGGCCCACGGTATGCATTTTTGGGAGCGCTGGAGACTGCTCACCTGAATGCAGAAGGTAAGTAATTTTACCAACCTGACATGCTGTTCAGATGTTAACAAAACTTTATCGCTACCATCCTTGCCCTTGCCCACAGGAATGCAAAACTACTGTGAAAGATATGCTCCAACTATCTACTCTGTCAGCCAGTCTATGGGCCCAATTCCTCACATGCAGAATGAAACACTGAAAACAGTGCATAAGCAGCTGTGTGACAGCATCCCACTTGATAAGCTACAGGAAAGAAGGCAATGGAGGGACACTTGTTTGACGAGATTGTCAGTACTCAAGCAAGAAATGGAAGCTATGCCCAACACAGGTTTAGCCAAGAAGTAGTTCAAAATTCACCAGTGCCAAGTTAAATGGAAATGTGCACAGGGAAAATGAAGGTCGCAATGAAGACCACTACATAATAGCCCAATAATAAGACCTAAATATAAATAACCTCCAGACAATGAGCTTCCTCTAACAATGTTAAGTTATAATAAGATTGTCATATCATAATACACAATTAATAAAGCTAGTTAAACCTTAACTTGTCTTGAAAATTTCTCTCCAATGCACTCGAAAGGATATATGGATTTCAAATGAAACACAGAAAGTTGATCACTTAATTTATTGGTGTTTATCGCTTGCCACCGACACGGGGAGCACTCTTCTGTGTTACCTTGGCAGCCTTGGGCTTAGGGGGTGCCTTGGCCTTGGCTGCGGGGGCCTTCTTGGCTGTTGCTGCCTTAGCCTTCTTGGACTCCTTGGCGGCACTGTTCACAAAAGGATAACATTGTTAGATATGACCACCAGGGGGCCTTAAATATTAAAGAAAATAATGAGACATCACAGTTCATGAATTAAACAAAATTTTGAATGTCAGCTACAAATTTGCCAGCAGAGGTTAAGGGAGGGAGTAATTTGAAATAAAAGTAGGGAGCCACAGACAAATAAAGGCATACAAGTAGAAAGTGATCATTGTGATCTTCAAAATTGAGAGGTGGAACTGGTTTAACACCTGATCAACTCAAGCAGTAGAATGAATCAGCAGAGAAAATAAATGTAAACACTGACCGAATAGCCTGGTCTCGCTGGGCCTTTCGCACTTCGGGCTTCATATTCCTCTTGGCCAAGATGTCAGTAAGGGTGGCACCTACAACAGCCCTCTGGAACTTCTGGGTACGGCGGGTACGCTTCTTGGCAACATCTTCTTCCTGGCCCTTCTTGTGCTTACGCCTGAAAACAAAATGAACGTTCAGTATTATCAGAAACAGACTTACAGGATGACAGTTTCCACACTCTGTCACTCGAATTCCAAACTCACCTGTACAGAACAGTCCATGTGACCTTACGGGGATTCCTCCTCATTTTGTGGGCAGCCTCGCATTTTGAGTTGAGGAAAGTGAAGGACTGCAACACGAGAAACGGAAATTCAGTGGTTACAGCAACGCTAGGTATTGACCGTAAAAATTTATCCGGGTTTGAGGTAAAAAAATCGTTACGACATTTACGAAAAACCCGGCATCCTAAGGCGAACATAACCAATAATGACAGTAAACACTACACCTGCAGTGAGTGTAATACATGAAAATAGATCCAAAACTATCAAGATCTGAGAGACACGCGAACAAAAAACTTGGCAAAGGGACCACCGCCACAGGAAACCGTTCAAAAGAGGCAAAACAACAATAACACGTGGCTTATAACGTGGAATTGTACGAACATAGCAAGCTAAGGTTAAGCACCCGTTTCTACTTTCAAGACTTAGAGGGAATCTTGACAGGATTGTGGTTCAATTAGATGCATTTAAAACGGAGCAAGGCGGGTTTAATACAGACGATAATTTAGATTGAGATAAAAGTAACATTGAAATCGGAGGAACATACCTTGCCATCAACCCTGACCATGGTTTTGCCATGGCCGGGGTAGATTTTGTACCCACTGTACACGCACAATCCAACCCTGAAAACAGGAAATAAGGTTCCATGATTACTCTGAACACAAGGTAAATGATAAAACAGAAAAGTTTAGGCAGATGTTCAAAGATAAATAACGGCCGCGAGAGCGCTTACTTCATTTTCACGGCTTCGGCGAAAGGAAGTGGGAACAACAAAGGAAGACTGAGCAAGGGACGCTCCGCCGCCTTGCCACGGAACCGCGGATGGGCCAAAAGTGGATGCTGTATGAGAAATTTTCAATGCGAATATTATTTTTATCGTGTGAATAGTGCGCTACGTCGTCTGCTTGTATTGTAGCGACGACGCAAGGACAGTGTAATAACAAACTAAAAACTGTTGGTAATTTGATTTTGAGCAGATTGAGGTGACTGTCATTGCAAGATTTATCATCCATGCTTTGTATTTTTCAGGTTCGAGGCATTTGCCTTCACCAATTAATAAAGAAACTGATGCATCTTGTGTGAAACGAGAGGTTATCTTCTGGTTGACTACTGTTCCTTTCGAAGAGCATCTACATCTTTATTTTCTCTGTCAAGAACGGTGAAATGGCAAAACCACCGCGTAGGCTCTTGTATCAAGCTTGGTGTAGTTTTATAGACTCTTTCAAACCTCGAACTTCCAAGGCTGAATTGATGGGTGAAGACATGTTAGGTAACAAGTACTTTGAAGCCAAGCCTACTTCAATATCGCATAGGACTAAGCCTTCGAGATATTACTTGCCCGCCAGTGGAGAAGAGGATTTCATGCAAGAATTACCAGCAGAATGGGAGGCTTGGTTGAGGGGCAGGAGAAAGGTTCCTCCCACACCTGAGGAGCTTGCCAAAAATTATGCAATTATGTTACAGAAGAAAGAAAATGCCAAGAAACTCGAGGCCGAAAGGGAGGGTGCTAAACTATTGGATACTCCTATGAAGCCTAAAGGAATGGAATCTTACCCACAATATGGTGATCATTTTGAAGATATGCCGGGTAGGAACTTGGATCCAAACAGGAAACCGAAGTAATGTTCCGCAAACTTAGCTGAAGCAAGCCATAGTTGTAATTTGTCCTTTATTTTCATTAAATATCTATATCTGATTTGTGTGTTCAATCAAGCAAGTCACCCTAAGTGCCTTTCTATATTACATTTAGGTATTGAAGGCAATAAGGAACCAAATTCATAGATTTACTGCACACCACTGGATGGACAGATATTTTTAGATTCTAAAGGAAATGAAACACAGAGCAACATCTTGGTTGATGCACATTTATTTTCCTCTCAAGAAAAGCCAGTGTAACCAACCACATGCATAAAATGAACACAATTGGAAAACATCACTTAGTAAAACTGCAAGACACTCCTGACCTCTTAACGGAAACCACAAAACCCTCAGAGAGAGGGAAAAGAAAAGGAAGCCTGTGCTGCAACTAGACTTCATTGGCTACAAAAAAAAAAAAAATTACACACACACACACACACACATGGCAACAAAAGGAAAATGCAAATCACAGCCTTCAGATTCAAATATTAAAATAAAAGATCAAAATTGATTAAAAGATTTTTGACAAGTCAGCACATAAAAGCCATATTTTTCAGTCTTCATAATGCCCTAATCATCTAACAACAACTCGGTCCTGATGCAATCATGTATCACCCAATTACAACAAAATCAAATTTTCTTTCCTTTACAAACAGTTGATATGACAATATTAAAAAGGTAAACTCTAACATTGATCAAAAGCAAACTACAATACTTCAAAAATTAGAAAGAATAAGGTCTGATATTTAAAAATTCACAAGACTGAAGTAACTCACAAGCTTATTTGGCAAGTCACAAGTAAAAATAATTTTTAATACAGACTTCAATTAGCAGATTGACAAATCAGCTTACAAAGCAAAACTTAAAGATCAAAGTAAATGCCCTCTACTACTTAACACACCATTTATCACTTTGGCTTTTGTGGCAACCCACCACTTCCTAAATAGCACAGAGGGACAATGCATTTAGTATTCAATTTGAGATCAAATTAAAACAGTAAAAATGACTATGTCCTCTCATCCACTAAAGATGCAGTGAGCATTCTCATAGATTTTTAACACCCATAAAAAGAGCAGTTTGTGACTGAAGACAAAATTACCAAACTATTAAAACTTATCATTTAAAACACCAAGTACAAAACATCACCCCCTTCTGAAACCTTCTCACCAGCAACACATACAATACAAAAGCAATGTTTGCACTGGACATTTCAAAGCAGAATAGATTTGATTGTAATAAATCAATTATCCACATTTGTGACCTACAGAAACAAGGCAAAACCAAATGAAAGAAGTTGAGATCTTCAATTAACATAAGTACAAGTCAAAGTCAGAAAAGATAATGGCAACAAGACTCAATTATTTAGAACACCATGAGACTAGATCACAAAATACATTGAAATTAGGTAGCAAACAATCTCAACGGTGGTTGAAAATTTCAAGCATCTGCATTAGTGCTAACTGTTTGATAGCGGAAAGGATCGTTAATCTGCTGCCTTTGTCTCACAAATCCAATTATCAATACAACTAGAAGAATCAAAGACAAAATCCCTGATGTAGCCAATGCTAGAACAGAAAAAAAAAATTATTCTGTGATCCTTAGAGCTATTGAAGCTAACCAATTCAACTGTACTTACCAGAAATGGACAGGTCATTCAGGTCTTCCGATGAAAACAACAAGTGGTAGTGGCACTCTTTCTCCCAATTTTCAGGAATTACTGATTTGGTGAGGCTCACAAATTTGTCAAGTTCACACAGTTCTGAGCAACCAGGTAATGTTAATGTCCGAGCTTCTGAAGAGTTTTTGTACACAATCTGTAAAACAATATTTTTCTTTGAATTTTTTAACTTACTGGCATGGTGAAACCAATATTATTGATAATAGTGTTATGATGAAAAGCAAACCTTACCGAAACATAGTAGGTATTTTTCAGTCTGTAAAGCTCAGCCAACACTGTTGAGGCATATGGTGGGCAATGGCGTTCAAAGATTCCAAGAGTACTGAGAATGTTTGCAACAGTTGTATCATGTGCGGAGTATATGTACATTTTCCGATCTGGTTCCAGAGTGCCAGCTCTCTTCTTTTGAAAATGATCAATCCATTCTTTGACAAGGGGCCCTGAAAGTAATAATTAAAATACTCTAAATACCCTTTCAAAAATTTGCGAGTGCGAAGTTGCCGAGCAGTTTTTAAAGATGGAAGCAAACAAAGAACAAAATATGCTACTGTCATTACCTCCTTTAAGCCGACGCAACTCAGGGGTATAAGCTGGCAGAGCAAAACTCCACTGAGCTATTGTTCTCAATGGCTCTGGATATACAGGTTTTGTCCACTCTGGAAGAGTCAAGTTTTTCAAGGTCTAGAGAAAAATGGGAGGGAAGAAAGATCATGACTTTGTTAGTACATTTCTATCTTGGTTGCAATTCTTTACCTACATGTTTCAGTACCATTCAAAATTACCTCAATGAAAAGAGTGCTATGGATGTATTCTGCATTTTCAATAGTTTTCACTTCAGAACCAGTATGCAAAGAAAGATATTTGAATAAACCCTGGTACTGTTTCTCCAAATCCTTGACCTCAGGCAGATTTCTTGCTAGTGCAAATTCTGCATCATAGCGAGGGCAAGGCTTTTTCATGGCTAAAACCTAGAATAAAAATCGAGGTATTCTAAAGATGAAACACAAAATGACAAAAGTACATAGTAGCAGAATAGAACCATTCAAAAACTTACATGGTCTAGATGTTCAGGAATGGTGTGGATTGGGATAGGCTGCCATTTGAGATTAGGTTCAAACATTCTTGAACCTCTTGGAGGAAAAAGCCCAGCCAAGTTGCTCTCAACACTCATTAATGTTCGGTCAACATCTGTACTCTGAACATACACATCCGATTTGGCATAGTCATTCTTCAGTAATGATATGTATCGTTGCCTTAGCCAAAGGCCCAGCTCATAATGCTGCTTCATTCCAACCTACACACAAAATATCACAAGGTGTTATAGATAAAATCCTGATGAAACTTTGTAGAATCGTAGAAAGCATGAGCTTACTGTGGTGAGCTGACCCCAGCCCGTTGACCAAAAGCTCGAATTGCGGTATGGATCCATAGGGTAAGGATTCACTGGAGTCCTATCTCCATGTCGAAAGAGCTATTAGAAGGTAAATAGATCCATGATGAAAGACATGACACAATAAAGGGATTGGAACAGGTAGCGTAAAGAAATGGGGATAGATCCAACTCAACAGAATGGTTCCAAAATGAACTCACCACATTGACCATGACAAGCTCAGGAGTCGCATCTTCGGCGTGAGACAGTGCAAACGTCGCAGACAGACCCCATGCGAGCACCAACAAGTAGACCCATTTCAAAGTCGACCGGAAGACTTCCATTGTGTTGTTGCCTTCGCCTTCACTGCACGTCCTTAACCTACAACGGGGATGCAGTTTTCAGGGGAGGCGAGGATGCGCCGCAGCAAGCCCAGCCATGGAGAACGTTTGGCGAAGAGTGACACGGAGACGAGCAGGAACTCTGCACGCTGGCGAAAGGCGAGACGGCGAAGTCGCGATAAACAGTCTGTTTGTGGACAACAGCTGCTGGGTGATGCGTCAAGCCAGGGGGTAAGGGGAAGAGGGGAGAGGAGGGAAGGGAGGGGAGGAGAGGAGAGGAGAGGAGAGGAGAGGAGAGGAGAGGAGAGGAGAGGAGAGGAGAGGAGAGGAGAGGAGAGGAGAGGAGAGGAGAGGAGAGGAGAGGAGAGAGGGAAGGGGTTGGTCCTCCTCACCCCCGTGCGATAAGGCAAAATCAATTTAATAGTATAGAATAAGGATGTAAAAACTACGTTTTTCCGACGACTCAAGCTTAGTTTTCCTCTGCTGATGATCAATATTTTGCAAAACCTTCGTTTCGTTGGTTTCATCCAGTTGGCACTACTGCTACACTCACACACACAAACACACACTCACTCACACAGACGCCTGTCTGTTGTGTTCTTGTGTTGTGCCACCGGACCGGAGTGTTGAATGCTGAATTGACAATCCGTTCTCTGGTGATTAGTGACGACAGAGGAATGAAGACGCGCCGACGGACCACCAGCCCCGAGTACAAGTTGTTGTCCAACCAGGAAGTCGGCAATAGTTCGTTGTCAGAGTCGGATGCCGCTAGCGAAAGCGACACAGGTAAGTCCTGTCTTAACCTCTCCCCCATATTGCGGTGTCATTTGAAGGGGTACTGCAAAGAAAGAAGAAACACGCACTTTGCGGTGGTGGTGAGAGTGCACATGTCTTTATCTTGTGTCTCCTAATCCGTGCTGGCGAAACTCTTATCATTTCTGTTTTATTTTCCTATCTGTCTGGCAAATATAGCTGGGGAATGTAAAAAGTGGCATTGGATCCTGATTTGTATGGAATAAAAACACTGATTTTGATGGTTTAAACCATTATTTTATTTTGAAAACATAACATGAAGTAACTGTTTACATGCTGGGTAACCTGTAATGTGGGGTAACTTTGCATGACTCATTCATTGGTTGATGATCATGCGTGGCTACCATGCATTCAACAAGTTCTACTATAATATCACAATAAAAGATGAAATAACAGCATTCTGTGCAGAAATGATTTTTTTCTCACGTTTGGATAAGAAATGGGGACACTTTAACTCTACCCCATAAACTACAAAACAATCAAGATTTTTAAAAAAAATTAACTTTTGCATCACCTTCAGGTGGATGTTACTTTTGTTAATGTACGTAATTTTGTCAAAATTAGCAAATTATTTCGTGCATCTAATTAATCCATCTTTAAGATAATGCACGAATCTGCCTCTGTCCTGATCAGGGCCTTGTCTCCCCGCCTCTTCTAACGTCTCGGAAGTTTCATAGTCTTCTTTTCTTTTGCTTTTTATTTTCCAGTGCCATTGACTTAGAGTTTTAGAGGCAGGCTTTTGCAAACCGAGGTGAGTACACACAGTAGTCTTGCTGTAGTTGTTCGGGGCAGCAAGGGGTTGGGTGGGCCGTCAAGGGACGTCGGTTTCCTGGTTCGGCGAGGGAGGCGGAGAGGCTCAAACCGTAGGCGTGGGCTACGGGCTCTGCTTGGCCTCGGGAGAGCTAGGGGAGCCAGACAAGCTGCGCTACACGCTACGCCGGTATGAGGGGGTACGACGGGTAGCCGCGCTGGCTGGGCACGCCCATCCCGTAGGCCTCGGTGGGCTTGGGGGACGGGGCGCAGCCCGCGTCGCCGCCGATGAGCTCGCTCATGAAGGAGATGTAGGTGATGGCGAGCCGCAGCGTCTCGATGCGCGACAGGCGCTTCTCGTAGGCGAAGGTGGGCACCTTCCGGCGCAGCTTGTCGAAGGCCTCGTTGAGGTTGTACATGCGGCGCCGCTCGCGGATGTTGGCGGCGCGGCGCTGTGCCATGGTGGCCACGCGGCGCCGGGTCTTCTTGCTGCCGCCCGCGCCGGGGTTGCCCACGGAGCTGGGGCTGCTGCTCAGCGAGCCCATGGACGCCGTGCTGCCCGGGCCGGGCTTGGCGGGCACGTCCTGGAGGCCGCCGCCGAGACCGGGCATGCCGCCGCCGCGGCCGTCCAGCCCCACCGCGTTGACGGGCACGCCGCCGAACCTGGAGGCGGACAAGCACATCGCCTTGTACCCTCGAGCACCTTGAGGCACGTACGCAAGTGCGAACAGTATGTTCGCCGGAACTTACCTCTGCGGCAGCATGCGGTGCGACTGGGGGTTGGCGCCGCCCACCCAGAGGTCGGCGGGGAAGCCCGCGGCCAGCAGGTCCGCCGGGTGCGGGTGGTGGTAGGTGGGCGCATGGTGGTGGTGGTCCCACAGCGCGCCGTAGGGCGTCAAGTCCCCGTACCCGGCCACGCCCAGCTCCGCCGCGCTCAGCGCCTGGATAACCAAGCAGTCCTTGGGTCAGGCGATACCCCACGCCAGAAACTACGAGCCACTCCTTCTCGACGCCTCCCAGCAAAACAGGCCTATCTTTTGCATAGCTTAAAGATAGGTCAGCAAAAGAGGCCCATCTTTTCCCATAGCTAAAAGATTGGCCTGATTTGCTGGTAGGCGTCGTTTTGAAGAAATGGCCCGTCTTTACACCACGCGCGGAGCCTTGGAGTCTGCATGGGGGTTCCCCAAGGCACGGGGTAGAGACGGGCGATTTCCTTGAACGTCCCTCGACATAGAAATGGACCACTTCTCCGTGCTCGTGCGACGGCGGGGTCCTTATTTCAAAGCACCAGGGCGGCCGTTGCTTACCGACATCATAGCCCCCGCGTCGACGTCACTGGCGGCGGGGCATCGCGCGCCTCTGCGGCTCGGGGCTGCGCTGCTCCGACTCGATCCTCCGCGACGACGTCCGGGGCGGCAGGACTCTCGGGCAGGGACCCTCGCGTCGTCCGGGTGGTCGCGGGGTGCGGTCCTCGCGGTCCTCGCGGTCCGCGCGGAGCGCGGGGTGCGTGGCGGTGGCGCGCTCGGTCAAAGCAAATCTGGCGTGATTCTGAGGGCCGCGCCGGGGAGGTCGGGGAGGCTGCCGCACCCCCGGCCGTGTGGGAGGAGCGAGGACGGGGTGGGGGGTGGGGGTGCAGTCGGGGTACAGTCCACTCTCTTGTCTCTCGCCACGGGCTTACCTTCCGTGTCTGCGTTTGAAGTGGCTGGGACCACACAGGACGTCGTCAACTTGACCACCCTTTCTTGGCAATTGCTCCTGTGTCGTTTTAGGTTCACGCATGTACCACGGACGTGAACGACCAGCACCATTGGGGTGCATTATTTTCCTTGAGCGAATCCTCTTTTCCGCCCGTGCCTTGACGGCGGCTCGTTACAGATTCGCGCGTCGTACTTGCCGCGCGTTTTGCCTATTTCGTACCTGCAGGCGGATCGCTCTGCACGTTGACTAGGGGTCATGACGCTACCCCTCCTTTCCCCCGCACGCGCTAGAAGCGCCCAAGCTTCCTCTCCGTTGTCAATAGTTCTGACACAATTGTTGTGAATTAGCTCCACTTGGATTGCCTAATCGGCGCAGGCTAGGGCGCTGCTTGCCTCGGAATGCGAAAGGTCCGCATTTTGCCTAAGATAATCAATGCCGGCACCCAGGATGCGCACCTGACGGCCTGACGGCCTGGCGGGCGGGCTTTGGATGCTGGGACTGTACCATTGATCCGCGAGGGCCTTGCAACAGTCGGCGCCATGTGTTACCGCCACCCCGCGCGCCCATTGGCCGCCTACGCGAGCCCGGCAGCCAATCCCAGAGCGGCCACCCCAGCCGTCGAGGCGCCCCGAGCCCGGCAGCGGCGGCAGCCCAGGGGCGGAAGGGGCCATGTTGGGATGGGTGTTCCGAAGCCGGAGCCAGGGACACACCTCGTAGAAACCCTCGAAACACACCGGATGTCTCAGCCAAAACGACTCTAACAGGCTCTAGGGTCCAAGGGTGCACTGGTCGCGACCGCGGCAACCCTTAGTGGCGTATGCGTCCTGCAGCAGTGGCAGCAGGTCCCCGGAAATCGTCGGTGTGAATGATGTAAACTTAGTGCTCCGTTTTCTTATTCCTTTCAGAATGCCGGTGAGCCAGTTGCCAACCTTCCATCACATCCTGGCGGTGGCCGAGATACACGTGCCGGATGCGATGTGTCTCAATCCCAGTTCTTACTACTGGAATCCGCCTACCACAACCGTTAGTCGCGACGAGCCACGGCTTTGCATCTCTTTCACAGTGCAAACGGAAAGGTATTCAGAAGGGTACCCTACCAAAATTAGTATTACGGAGTATGAGTGCACGTGTCCTACGATGCTAGAAGTGATCATTACTAAAAGAGAAAAAACAAATTATCAGTCTATTAGTCGAGACATGTCACCGGGGATGAAGAACTGGCGACTGCCCTCTTTCAGAGTGGACGAGTTGCGCTGTTTCACGGTGCAGCTCAGGGTCTACGCTACGCCGGAAGTGCAAGTGTCGACGCTGGTCTCCAGACTGAACCAGGCCCGGCTGCAGGGAGACCCCCAGTGCGACGCCTCTCTGTGCGTCGAGGGCGAGTGGTTGCCGGCGCACCGCCTGGTGCTGGCCACGCAGAGTCCCGTCTTCGCCAAGATGTTTGGGGGCGACTTCAAGGAGGCCGGCGACGGCCGCGTCCACTTGAAGGACGTGTCCAAAGGCGCGGCCGAGTTACTCTTGGAGTACATGTACACCGATCGTCTGGAGAAGTGCGAGGGCTTGGAGCTGGAGCTGCTGGACTTGGCGGAGCGCTATTGCATGAACCAGCTCAAGCAGGAGTGCAGGCTGCTGCTCTGGACAGTGAATGCGCCGCGCGCCCTGCAAGTGCTGCGAGGACTTCCAAACCCCCACGTCGATGCAGACACGAAGAAGCGTCTGGTGCGGATCGTGGTGGACAACTGGAAGGCGACGACTGAATCGAGCGAGTGGCAGGAATTCCAAGCGGAGAATCCTTTGGCGGCCGAGCTTCTGGTGGCCGTCTCTTCCAGCGAGCTGACGGTGTCGCTCATGCAGCCTGTCTAGTACTGTAGTTGTTTCTGTACAGTGCTTAGTGTTTATTTCCTTTCCAATTATTATTTCTACGATTTCTCAGTATTAGCATGTCTGCAAGTTCAGTGTTTTGATCCCAAATTGATCGCATAAAGGTTCAAATATATTCTAATAAAATTTGCTTTGATTAGTGTGTGTTTACTCTTTGGGGCGTTGGTGGGCTGGCGGGCAGCTATCGCTGATGAGTAGGCACCTGGCGGTGGCTCGCGCAGCTCGCGCGGCCGGCGTCGTGCATCCGAGTGGCGACGCGGGCGACGTCGCGGCAGTGCAGCGATGGCCGAGCCCCAGACGCCGGTGCCCGAGGCGGTCCGCGCCAAGGGCGTGGAGGACGGCGTTGTCGACGACGAGCTCCTGGGACGCCTCGTCGCCGTGGTGCAGGGCGGCGCGCCGCCGACACAGCAGGACGCCGTGGTGCAGGGTGCGACCCAGGCCGCGACCGCGCTGCCAGGTACCCAAGGTGAGAACGTCGCCGTGGTCCGGGAATGCCAGTCCGTGTTCTTCATTGGCAGTCCACCGCCAGAAATCCCCAGCGTTTTTGTAAATGTCGCAGAAATGTTGTTGTTGTCGCTAATGTGATCTGATTGCCGCTCCCCTCGCACCCTCGGCGCCCTCGGCTTGGCGGCGGCCCCGTCGACTTGTTTTAATAACAGCTGCCTCGCTTCATCAGCCGGCCACCCCTTCGCCCTCTCCCCCATGTTGGCCATGCAGCGTCGCCGCCCCTCCCATTTGTCATAAAATGCTTGATATTGGAACACTTGCAGCAGCGGGACGAACGCGCTTATCCCCCAAAGCAGAGCAGCTGCAAGTGCCTGGGCCTTGGCCTGGGCGGTGCACTGTGCCCTATCTGCGCAAAATAACTATGTGTGGAGGGACGGACCATTTTTTCGACGCATTCAATTTTGCTTCTGTAAAGAGCACAGTTCGGTTTGACCCCTCTGTTTGAAAAATTCCCGCGTGTAGACGTCGGCCTTGCATTGCAGGCCTTGCACATCGCCCGCGTCGCTTCGCAGCTTTCCAGACGGCCCCGCGCTCTGCAGTTTGACCATTGTCCATTGTGTCGTGCCGCATCGACGGCCTCCAACCGCACCGAGGGCGGTTTGTGCCTCTGTCTCTCTCGCGCACTCATGGACAGCCCCATGAGTGCGACAGAGACAGAGTGACTGAACGACCCGCGCTGGCTCGGCGGGCCCGGGTGTTGTTTTCCTCCGATTCACTTGTACTCGTGGATCTGTCCTCGTAACGAGATGAGCGCCGGGATTAGGCGCGAGGGCGAGGGGTGCTGTCATATCACGCCTCTAATTGTTTGACGGCGTGTTGCTCCCCTATTGTCGCCGCGTGTCCCCCGCCCTCCGCGCGCGTGGCGCTGCAAGCGCTGCATAGGCAGCCTGTCGCCCTGTCTCTGTCGCACTCAGGGGGCGTCCCGTAGGGGTGCGAGAGAGACGCCGCGAGACCCCTCGGAATCGCCCGCCAGTGTGCGCACCCTTCTTGACTTTATAATCTCGGTCTCGATGGTGCGGTTTTAGGCTTTTAGGCCACTCAGTGAGCGGGCAGTTGGAGCGCGAGCGACGGACCAGCGCTCGGGGACGCGAGCGCGCGGCTCTAGCGGAAGAAGCTGCCGCTCTATGAGCGCCACTCTTCAATAATCCCTTTCCTTGCTGAAAAAAATAGTCCCTCTCCCAATTTTTTGCAGAAAAATAGATGATAGAAACCTACCAAGGGGGAGTGGGTGCCGCATGGATTCTGTGATTCTTTTGATATTGCGTTTCTCCGGTTTCTGCGTAGATTAGCCCATCGCCATTGCACCCACGTACTTTTTGTACTGACAACACGACAATCCCCTTCACTGTATTTGACGGATTGGCGATTGCGGACACCGCACCGTGGGGGCTGTCTAGCGACTCCGCTGCCCCCCCCCCTCTTTTCCACGAGTGTGAGAGAGACAGACCGAGGAGGGGCGCAACTCCCGGCGGCTAATCGTGGAGGTGTGACCCGCCTCGCGCCTCCCCTCAGCAGTGGCTCGGCAGTGGCTGCGCTGTGATAACTGGATGCCAACAAGCGTGACCGCACCGCGGCGGTGGTCCAGCGCAAGCCGTATTGCCCCGTTTAAAACACATTAGGCTGGGGTGGCTCGGCGTGGCATCGCGTGGGGGAGAGGGAGGGAGGGAGCCTGGATGGATGCGCAATATCGCCTGCTTATGATATTCTCCCCCCCCCCCTTTTCCCCACCTCCCTAGAACCTCCTTCGCTTTTCGTGTTTCTCGTTCCGTTCTTATCGGCGGCCTTTTGACTGTGACACCTATTGGTAGTGGCGAAACTTGTCGTTACACGCAGGCTGCAGAGTACTCGGCAGTCAATTTGCACGTGAACGCGTGTCGGCACTCGAGATAAGATTGGAATGCTTGGGCCGCTTCGGGCTATCTGGCCGATCTGGCTGTGGCTTGAACCTGCAGTTCCGCACGTACCCCATCCCTGAGGGGCGGCGGCGGGCGGCGGCGTGGTGGGGGTAGGCAGGGTTGGCGTCAGCTTGCGCCGCCCTCCGCCCTTTCCCCGCCCTGCGCCGCCCTGCGCTGCCCTGCGCCAAAAGTCAATACTCCAGGCGCTGCCACAGCCCCTCCCTTCGGGTACCCGTTGGCCCCTGTCGACCCAGAATGCTATGCCCTTTCCAGAGGGAAGGCCCAACAACAATGAATGGACCCATTTGACTCGTTGGCCCCTGTCGACCCAGAATGCTGTGCCTGCCGGCTATGCCCTTTCCAAAGGGAAGGCCCAACAACAATGAATGGACCCATTTGACTCGTCGCGTCGCGGTGGTCAACGATGACCTCACGGACACCGTACTTCCAGCAAAAATATACGTCTTGTCTGGTACACCAGGAAATCGGAGCCATCGTCCTTGAACGCGTCGTCCGTTCCACAACAGTTCCCTCGTTGAAAAGCCAGGCGCCGGCACTCGTGTTGACAGTAAGGCGTCGCCCACCCTTGGGCCAGGCAGTGCCTTGCAGGCTGGCAGTCCGTGCATGAAGGCCGCACGCACCGCCACGCCACTGTCGGGCTGGCCACCATCCCAAGATCCGCAACCGGTCCAGAACAACTCGCCGCAGGGTTTCGCACCGAGAAGCCTTTCTTCTAATATAGAACTAGCTCAAATTTGGGTTATTTTATTTTTTCAAGGTACGGGAGGAGGCGATTAAAATATAACGAAAAATTAGAGCAGTTGCACTTGCTTTGCGTTGTCTGGCCGCACGGCACGCGGCTCCGTTCCGCGGAGTAGGCAGATCGGCCACGCAGCCCGCGCGGCCCGCCCGCGCATTCGCCCAGCCTAATCTTTTTCTCCTCGTCAGCGTTTTTTAACAGGTCGGCTCGGTTGGTAATGACTGTGAATCAATCCCACCGCAGAAGCAACTCCTTTCTTTGGCGGCGACGCGACACCACCGCAAAAGCGTCGCGAAGCGTGCACGCCTCATTGCCCGTCTGAAACCCGAGCGGCCGCAGTGCCCTGGCAGCCCTGGCAGCCCTGGCTGCCCGCAGACGGGCGAGCCGTCGCCCTGTCTCTCTCGCACCCCCTCGGGGCGCCCCGTGAGTGCGACAGAGACTGCTACCCTCCGTAATCGCGGCCTGCAGGCTGGCCGGGCTGGCCGCTAAACGCTTTCGGACTCGCATAAATGCCGGGGAATCGACGCGCGGTGGGTATCGACACCGTGGAATCGAAACGCAACGCAACGCCGCACCGCAACGCCCCATCCCATCGGGAAAGCGGCACCGACTCTACGCCGGGCGTCCGTCGCTACGCCGCGCGTGAGAGACACTCAGCGCCAGCCTCCCGCCTTGCGAGGCGTATTGCCGGGGTCATTTCTTGTTCCGCCGACGACGTTCGTTGTTGCAGTCGGAGCGTTGCGGAGGCGGAGTCCGGAAGTGACTCGTGCCGACGGTACCGAGAATGAACGAGTGCCAATGCGGTCCCGTTCTGTTCTGCGCGGTGCAGCCCCGCCGCCCCCGCCCCGACCGTCCTGCCCGTGGACAAGAGTGCCCCGCCGCACCTCGCCCCGCCGCTGCGCCTCCATGCCGCGCACCGTTGGGGCCGAGCCGGCGTGCCCGCCGAGGGGCCTGTAGCGCGGCTAGCCGACCAGTCTCCCCGCGATCAAGGTGCCCGCTGGATGGCCGCCGGGCCGCCGCACCGACGCACCTGGAGCCTAGAGCAGAGTGAATGTGTGCGAGCGTGTGCGTGTGATTACGTGTGACGGGCCGGCCGCAGTCCAGTGGAGCAGCGCCTCCCAGCCGGTCACCATGTCTTCCACCGCGGCCGCCTCCAGCCCCACCGTCGAGTGTAAGTGCGCGGTGCTGCCTCGCTGCCGCTGCGTTCAAGTCTCGGCCGCTGTGCCGCCGTGCCCTGTTCGCCGTCCTCGTCGAGCTGAAGCTCGGCAGCGATAAGGACGTGGAAGCGCTCCTTGGCGGGGCAAACCGGGCGAACCGGGAGGCCGCGACAAACAGACAGGCGGGCAGAGCGTAAATAGGTTTGCGCGGAAAATGGGTCAACTTTGCCTTTCTCTGGGTTTGCCGGTCCGTGGCGTGCAGTGGCGTGGCAGCGTGCCGCGGCGGCGCTCTGCTGCGCTCTGCCGACGTCGTGGGAAGCGCCGCTGTGTCTCTCTCGCCTGTACGGGACGCCCCATGAGTGCGAGAGAGACAGAGCGACGAAAACGACTCTCAGCCTGCAGGCCCGGTGCTCATGTCTGGGCCGCCCCGTGTGTGTACACTGATAAAGGGTTCAGTGGCCCGACCAGAAGGAAAAGCCAAAGGTGTCGACTTTTGGCGTGGCGTGCCCGGCGGCGGGCCTTCGGATTAGCCAACGAAACGGCGAAACGGCGCACCGACTCGGCGGGGCGTGTCGCCCAGTCTGGCGGCCGTCAGCGGACTTCGGTGCAACGAGTGTCGCGCAAGAGACGTGCTCGCGCAACTGCACGAAATCCGAAATCCATTCTGTAGGGTACGTAGAGGAGCGTTTGGAGTCCTGCCACCTGATTCCCGAAGGATCTCTCCGTCGCTCTGTCTTTCTCGCTCCCTCCTGCGGGACGGCCCATGAGTGCGAGAGAGAGAGAGACGATCCTTCGGAATTCGGAATGAGAGGCGGCCACTGCCTGCTCCTCCCTCAGACGCTTACGTAAGGCCTGAACGGTCCGATCCATGCGTCTGCACTACACCGTATTCTCACCGTTCACAGTGTCGATGCACCTGCCAGAGACCGGCACGCGTATTTTTACGGGGCATTCCCTGCCCTGCGATGCCCTTTGGCGGCCCGCATCGCCGCGCGCCCTTTGTAGGCCGACTTTGCCATGCTCGGCCCCAGCCGGCCTCATAGCCCGATGCGACATACGCTGAAAAGTTCGGTGCGTGACTCATTCCGGCCAGTTTAGTCCGCACACTGTAGGATACTGGTGACGATGGTGCGGGGATGCGCCTTCCACCTGCAATGCCTGGGGCGGCGGCCAAGTTCAAGGTCAAGGGCGGCCTTGTTGGCGTGGTCCCGGCGGTCCCGGCGTCGAGAAGTGGACGAAAGGTGCCTCGTCGGCCGCCGGTTTATGTAACGGACTCGACGTGGAGCACGCGGAGCGCGGAGCGACGTCCCCGGTTGTAATCACAAGGCCGTGGCGCAGCCGGTCCAATGATTTAAATCGGACTCAGATTTTGGCCGAAGGCAAATACGCACCAAGCGACGCATTGCAGTGCGGGGGTAGTGGGCAGCGGAGGGTATGCACGCATTTCTGGTGCCGACTGCCAACACACTTTACGTAACTCTGTCACGCAGTCACGCCCATTACGTAAGCTTGGATTTATTTTTACTCTTTTGGGCAGAGGCACACGTCTTGTGCTGGACCCTGGATACGGGGGAATCTGACCTTTGGCTGAGAAAAGCAGACCTGGCCCCCACTTTTTTCTTCCCCCTGTTTACAGTGACGCCGCCAGGTTGACAGTCAGCCAGGCGCAGGAGAGCAATAATAAGTTGACCACTCGCTGTGCCGGCCAATATTGACTGTGGGAATCGCGCGTGCGCGGCGCGTGCCTGCTGGCGCCTGGCTTCCGTGCCTAAGTGAGCGTGAACTGCCGACACCCGATACTCCTGGGACGCTCGGGCCGCTCGGGGGAGCTGGGCTGTCGCGCTGCCGCCGCCACAGCCCCCCGGGCGTGCAACCGAGCCGATTACAAAGTGAGACGTCGACGTCGCGTCACTTTGTTCGGTGGCGCGGATCATCTTTGGCGCGTGCGGTCCCTCCCCGCTCCCCTCCGTCGCTCTGTCTCTCTCGCATGAGTGCAGAGCGACGAAACCGACTCTCTGAATCAGTCTGCTGGGCTTTGCTGCTGTGACAGGAGCAGACGGGGTCCAAAACAACTGGATCAGAGAGATGGAGGAGACCAAGCCCTCCCAAAGTGACTCTGCCTTGGGATGGGAATGCATCCTTGCGTTCCAGGCGTTCCGGGCGTTGCTCCGCGTGGCTCATCAGGTGGCAGGCGGGGGTGGGGGTTGGATCAATACCGCAGCCGGGCTAGGCCGGGGCTTGGGCCGGGGTGCGAACGGGGATAGCGGGGGAGGGAGAGCCGCCCAGGCCGCCCCAGAATCCAGCTAGCGCTTCTAGCGCACAGGGCGAGGACGCGAGGAGCAACAGGAACCCAGGACGAGTGGTGTTAATCTGAGGGCCTTCGGCCACCTGAAGGGCACGGCTTCGTCCTGGCTGCAAGTGTGGGCTCTGCGGGGGGTGCCCGCGAACCCCTGCTCATGGCCGGGGGTGAGTGGACGCACGTGGATGCACGTAGGGGACGTAGCGGTGGAGGCACGGTCATCGCCGGCCACCATATGGACGCGCGTTTTCTGGGTCACTGCTCACATTTTGTTGAACTGGTGTCCTTCCAAAATAGAATATATATGTACCATATTTGTTAACTTTGCTCCATCTGTTCAGGCTTCAGAAGAAATAATTTTATTTCACATGAGTTTAAGATTCTCGCAAAGACTGCTGCATATCCTTTGCGCTTAAAATATTTATTCTGTTGTAATTTTTCTTTTTAAATTGCTGTTGCAGATAAAAAAGCCGGGGAGGGCGGTGGCTACATCAACATGGATGCAGGAGGCACACCACAACAGCTCCTGAAGGGATTTAATCCTCTTCTGGTACTGACAGAAGGACTTGGACTACTGTTGGTGGCCCTAGTAGCTGTCTGGTGTGGACAGAAAGGTTTCGGCTGGAGGGCATACCCAAGTCTGGAATTTAACTGGCACCCTCTTCTTATGGTGATAGCACTTATCTTCTTGAATGGCAACGGTAAGAATCATCACCCATCTTGCTAAACTTCAAATAGAAAAAGAAAAAAATATAATTCTGTTTAATTTTTAATCATTTTTTAATCTTTTAGCCATTTTAACTTTCCGGGTACTGCGCAACAACCGGAAGGTACTTTTGAAGTACATCCACGGAGGTATCCAGTGCCTCACTCTTCCACTGATTATCATTGGACTTGTTGCTGTGTTTGACTCGCACAACTTCAATGTGCCCCCCACACCAAACCTGTACACTCTTCACAGTTGGATTGGACTTGGTGCTGTCATTTTGTTTTTCTCACAGGCAAGTTTTCCCCTAAAAGCTGCCGCATCAAATTATTGTTTCTCCGCAGACTAATTGTCAATTGTCATTTCATTTTTACAGTATGTTGTGGGTCTCACTGCCTTCCTCTTCCCTGGGCTCAGTGCAGAATACAGATCCATCATTCTGCCCTATCATGTTTTTAACGGTGTAGCAATTTTTGCACTTTCTGTTGGGGCCTCCTTGATTGGATTGAATGAAAAAGCATTCTTTGCCCTGTAAGTGCCTGGCAACTTATTGGAGTATCAAAATTAACTCATTCGTTGACATTACGATTTTTCTCTTCTTCTGTTTATACAGCCCGAATTATGGACAACTACCAGGCGAAGCAGTACTGATCAACATGATTGGGGTGGTCATGGTTTTGTTTGCTCTACTTGTTGGTCTCCTTGTTACAAAAGCTGAATTTAAACGAACTCCTCTTCCTGAAGATGGTTCACCTCTTCTGGCAAGCTCTCGACAGTAGTACAAAGCCCATGACCATCATTTCCTATTGACTGGAAGGAAGGAAGGAAGGATGGGGCTGCTTAGTAGCATTACCTTCTTTTGCATAAAATGGAAGTCACTACCCAGAGTTTTACCTAGAAATAAGCTTTTAGCCCTTCCAGGCTTTTATCCTGTAACTGTAAGACTTCATGTTAAATATATCAAGTTGGAAATAAGGAGAGTCGTTGAAGACTATGTTCAGTGGAACTGATTTGGTGCTTTATGGAGTAGATTTGATAAGTCCCTGCTAGTGGTGGATAAAATTTACTAGGGGACCATCGAGTCATACATCATACTTTTTAGTGTTTTCCTATTTTATAACTTTTTTGTTTGGTGTCTTTTCTGCTGTTGTTATATTTAATTATATTTAAGTCCCTATGATTTAATTTGTGGTGCTTTGATGTCTGTGCCTAAAATATGGTATTAATTATTATTACCCTATAATGTGTATCATTAAATATATGTACTTTGATCTTCATTAACCTTTGAATGAATGAGGAAAAAATGTCGAAAAAACAGCATACTGCATACTTAAAACCATAAAATCATTGTGATACATTAAACATGAACATTTTAATTTCTTTGCTCTTTATTTATTTTTTGCAACCATTTTTTGTACAAAATATTTTTAATACAGTATTTCATCCCACATTATTCTTTTTAACAAATTTGTGTTTAAAAATTTCTAGCTGCGACCTTAGTACCAATACAGTAAAAATTGCATACTTATACTCACTATCTAGCTGCATATCTTCAACAGGAAGCTCTCTGCGTATCCACTCAAATTCTTCCCCATATGCTTTTACTCTTAATTTTATCCGTGTCCTTCCTGATGCTTGTAGAGTTAACTTCTCCAATTTATGAAGCATTTCTTCCATACCAAAGCCAGTTTTAGTTGAGACGAAACACGTATTGGGTTGAGCTTTCTTTAGATCTGAAAGCTCATTTTCTGATATACGATCCACTTTGTTCCCAACCACAAATAGTCTCTTCTCAAGATTTTCACCAAAGTTCAAGCTTAAAAGAGTTTTCATCACATGCTCCTGTTGTTTTCGAAAATCAGGATTGCTCACATCCCATACATGAAGAATGACATTTGCGTGAGCAGCGTCTTCCAATGTAGCAGTAAAAGACTCAAACAGCTCAGTTGGTATATCAGTTATGAAACCTACAGTATCCACATAAAGCACTTCTAGGCTGCAAGGTAAGTTGCCTTTGTGCTTTGTGACATCCAAAGTGGCAAACAGTTGGTTTCTTGGTTCCAATTTTTCTGTTCCAGTAAGTGCTTTAATTAGAGATGTCTTTCCAGCATTTGTGTACCCCATCACAGCGACTATGGGATAAATATTCTTAGGATCATTCCTTACTCGTTGGCGGTGTTGTTTAAGGAAGGATACAGCTTTTTTCAATTTTTGTTCACGCTGAGAGAGCAATTCTTTACGAGTCTCAGGCAACATACCTTCAGTACCACCAACAAACCTCCCTGAAGCTAGACGATCTGAGAGTCCTTTTGGAAATCCTTTGACACATTGTTTCAAGTAAGGTATCTCAGCTAAAGCAATTTGCAGCTTTGATTCCTTGGTAACAGCATGATGTCGGAAAATTTGTATAACAATTGTGTATCTATCAAACACAGGGACTTTCAATGCTAATTCCAATTCTATTATCTGTTTCACTCTCAAAATGTCAACATTCACAAAAACAGCACTTATATTCTTAGATTGACCAACTATGTTTTTCAGCCTGTCTATTTGACCAGATCCGAAAAAGGTTGATGATTTAAAATGGTTTACTCCAAGTATTATGGAGTCAACTGCTTTCCACCTTGGCAGAGTATTTATGAGAGCTAAAGCTTCTTCTAATTGCAATTGTGGTGATGTAAGTGCAGCCTCTTGAACCATTTCGTTTTTGATAGCAGATTTCTTAAAAGGCCTCACAAAAGGCTGAATGACAAAAACATTATGTCCATGCTGAGGCAATCTCAACATTCTGTCTGAAAACTCGTCAAAATCAGCATCCTGAAGAACTTTTTCGACATCATAATCCCATTCATCAGAATATCTTCGTACTTGTTGAAAGCCCTCGAGTATGTTTTTTTGGGGGCAGACGTAACCAGGTCTCGTACCGAACTTCACTTGTTGCTTCAGGGCACTGAGAAGTTTCGGAAAATAAAGTAAACGCTGCATTGTAGCACAATGCATGGCTGCTCATCAAGGCAACGTGCAAAGTTGCATAGAAATGGTGTATGAAGTCGCCTTCTCTTTCAAAACACTTTCATGGGGCCCAAGTTATTCGTAGCTTTATTAATCTGAAAGGGAAAGAAAAGCAATAGAAGTATCCTTGAACAGTAGCTGTAACAGAGCTTGATTGTTGTAAGTTTTCATCTTAGATCACAAACTACTTACCCATTAATGCATTTGTTGTTGGACATGCGGCTCCTGCTTGTTGTTTGCCATTTCGCCTTTCACCACAGCAGACGACAGCACACACCACCCCTCTCGCCCCCCTCCCCTCTCCTGCTCTCCACCCTTCACTCACCGCCCTCCAGATGAAACAAGGCGTCGGTAAAATGTCGTAGTAAACAAATATGACAGTTGTTGTAGTTTTTGAGTTATAAAATTGTTATTCATTATTTTAACAATTTTACTCTTATGAAAATGGAGAAAGAGGCCACGCCGTTAGTTTGTAAGGAAGTCCTAGATATTAGTAATATCCTTTGGGGACCATCAGTAAAGATAGATGTATTCAGGAGATGGGCACAAGGTGAGCTATCTAGGGCAATGATACGAGAATATTATATTGAGAAAATGTACTATTTTATCATCCTAATATTAAACAAAAAAACTCGATTTTAGTTTCTTTTACCTATTTCTATATGCCATGCCTTGACAAGTGGTGTAACGAGTTGTAATTTTAGAACTTTGCTCCCTAACCTTGCTCGGATGTAGTCTCTGTTTTCTTTGCTCAACAACCTTTCCCCTTTTGAAATGCACTCTCACTTTTGATGAATTTCTTTAATTTTCATCGAGACAGATGTTTCATTCTCTGTATTTGTACATGTAATCTTCATCTGAACTCCTTAATTCATATCATTCTTTCCCCATTCTTAGGTTTCCATTTCAGTAATGAAGAACCCACAGCACTTTTACAGTGTGAAGGAGGACCCTGTGCAGTCCTTGCCCCAGTTCAAGCCTTTATAGTCAAAACTCTACTAGAGTCTGATTCAATTGCTGAGTGGAGGCAGGTATGGAAATTTCAGACAGTTTTGTATGTTGTAATCTGATTATTGTACCGCTATACTCTGTTCATAAAACATCGACTGAGTTAAAGTTTTGTTTTGCTCTATAGGCAGGTTCTGATAGCTGTAGCAAACTGCTGGTAAAGGCAGTTTGCGACATTTTAAGTCAAGTGAAAGAAGAACCAGATTGCAGATATCAATTAGTTGAGCTTCAAGTTGTCAAGGAAAGTTCTGATCCAGACACAATCGGCTCCCAACCAAACACCACTACTTCAAGTTCTAGCTTGATTAATGGACTATCAAATGAAGTTAGCAAGGATGATATTCAGCTCATTGAATCGTCAATCAGCTTAAGACAAAACCTGTCACCTGATGAGTTCCACTCTCAATTGAAGTTTGTATTTGATGTTGTTAATCTTGTTAGATGTTTATATTCTCTGCTTAATTTTGATGTATGTTTCCCTTTTCCCTATAGAGTTTTAACTGTAGACAGTATTGAAGCTGTGGAACACTTTTACAATGAAAGAATAAGTATGCTACAAAACACTTACGGAGTATTACTTTTATTGTATGCAGTTATTTGTTCAAAGGTATGTGTAAGCTTATATTGTGTTTTATTTGCTGATTGCATGTCAAATATTTTATTTGAATTATTCTGAACATTATTATTTACAGTACGTCAAATTGTTTTTGTTTGTTATTTGCAGGGCATTGATCAAATTCATGAAGAAATGTCTGATCCAAATGAATCTCTTATTGATGTCGTTCATGGCTATGGGAACCAGTCTCTCATCAACTTAATGTTAACTGGCCGAGCAGTTGGGCATGTATGGGATCATGAGCAGGATGTTGGAGGCCTTAGTAAGTTTGCTTTTTTCATCATTATTCCATCCTATTTAGAAGCTAAGGATCAGCTTGACATTACAGTTTTTCTGATATTTGTTCCAGAGTTGCGAGGCTTAATCAAGCAAAATGATGTAGGCTTTTTAGCTTTGTTAGAACACTTGCGCTATTGTGAAGTTGGGTCCTTTTTCAAGAATCCCAAACATCCAGTTTGGGTCCTGGGCAGCGAAACACATTTAACTGGTAAAAGAAACTGTTACTCTCATCCAAACTTAAATTTACTTGTAATTTTAAAAAAACCAACAAAAAAACAAAAAACAAACTTGTAACTGTTGGTAATTCCAAATTTTGTTGTATTTCAGTCCTATTTTCTTGGGAGAAGAGCTTAGTTAGTCCGGAAACAGCTGGTGAAGTAGCTCGCCGCGTTTTCAAGCGTTATGACCCTGATGGAAATAATTTCATTCAATCTTCATCCCTTCAAGATGTTTTACGTGACTTGGATTTAGTCTCTGAAACAGAATAGTAAGTATAGCAATGTGCTTGGTTTCTTACAGGCTTGATTCGTTATCACACTTTCTTCCTTTCTTTTGAGGCTTCTTTTCTTTTTCACTAATTACCTCACCCTCAGTAACGTTCACTGATTCTCTGTACTCTTGACCCTAACCTATCCTCCCTTTCCTAGCCCAGTGAATGGTTGGAGTGTACAACATCAGTTGGTGACAATCATAGACATCCATATTTTCCAGTTTTTTTCTTAGGGGCCACCAAAAAATTTTCCTTATCAGCAACACCAGCATCACAATAGTTTCATTTTTATTTTTTTCCCCCCAGTGTTGACATTATGCGTCGGAAATTAGATCCAGAGGGCCTAGGAATTATCTTGTTGTTGGCATTTATGGATGAATTCTATGCCGATGAGAGGAAGACCACTCCTGATGTCTTCACTCTGTTTCATTACAATGGTCTACCTCATTCATGCCCAGATGGTCGAGTAAGTGTGCCTAATGTTTCCACTTTGTCTTGAGTTACATTATCATACTCATAAGATTGTTATATGTTCGATTTTTTTTCTCAGGTTGTGTACCAAGAAGGCTCTGCTATCCTTCTTGAGACTGATGTACAATCAATATTGGAAAGCAATCCTATACAGACTGTTCTACAAACTAAATGGCGAAATATTGAAGTCAATTGGAAATCAGGTGTCTCTCCATCATTGAATTAGTAAATTGCCTCACCTCATTATGGTTTTCTCTTGGCCAAAGGCTGCATGAAACAAAATATGCAAATGAGAAGACAACCGTGTGTCAGTGCACACAAGAATGAACAAGTAATTGGAACTGAATTAAATTTTCATTGCGACAGAGTATTTTTTCAGTTAAGAACTGATTTGAAGGATGATTATTTGTATTTGGTGATGAAATGGGAAGTGATGTATGTGTGTCTTCATGACTTGCAGGTAAATGAAGGGACAACTTAAACACAGGGTGACATTGACACGTCTTTTTATGACTCCATTGTGGCAAGACCACCAATTGAACTTCAGCAATTCTAAAGTTTCTATAATTGGTGCCTTTTTCAGATAAATGTATGTCTAATTTCTAAATGATTAGGTAGAAATGTTGTACGTTTACTTAGGATGGATTTTCACTGGAAACCATGATTTTCTCCATAGCAAAGAACCACAGTGATAATGCTAATGCAATGGTAACATTTTGAATAAATTGAAATATTGATTGAATAGAAATCATATGAAGAGGCTGTTTCTTTATGAACAATTTGGTTGTCTGCTTAAATTTACTGTGGAAATTTGTTTGAAGTCTTCAGTACTTAAAGTAGTACCTCTAGGAGTGAAATCACCCCAAGCTGTGTGCATGGCTATCTTTATTATGTTTATTAGATTCAACCCTGTTCCTGCTCTTTAAAATTTATCTTAGAAATTTCCAGCTCAGCTGTAAATTTTTAGGGGATCATTTGTGACAAGTTAACAGTGTTTGGCTAGATGTTTTAATTTTGTTTTCTGGTCAGGAAAAGATCTCTGAAATGAATTGTTTTTTTGTTTGTTTTTTATTGTCACTTTGGTTGGCTGTTAGTACATAGTTCTCTTCTGTTTTTTTTTCTGGTGCATGTGGAATATTAAGAAAACTGTACATTCATGTATTTGTCAATCTTGTGTCACAATAATTTCATCATACGTCTTTTTTTTCTTGCTCATGCAGTCAAATTGTACTAACTTATTGTTTACTTATTCAAGTGAATTTTTATAGTATATTTTTAAAATAAAGAACCAAATATTCTGCCTGAAGTCTTTAATTACATGTGGTAGGCTCTAGCATATCAAAATGCTCTTCCTGTCCGCATAGCTAATAACCATTGCTTGGCCACACACACTCACCGACATGAGTTTTGTCCAAACGTTTTTGACCTTGAACAGAATGAAAGTGACAGAGATAAATACTAGCTAGTATTTATCTCTGAAAGCGATCTAATACCACATCTGTAGTCGGCAGCCTCAGCCGATGGATCCGCCCGGCAGCAGGGAATTCCGCTCCGTGCAGCGGAACGACTTCAGACACAACATTTTCGCTAGGTTATGATTCATCCATAACTCATTATTTCGAAAGACTCTAGTACGCAGAGTAAAAATTTCTCGTTTTTTTTACCGTTGCTTCTTCTTTAAGTTTACGAAAGAAACAAAAACGCAGCCCTTTTCTGGACATCTCCGGAACTGTGTAGAGCAAGCCACTATTGCCAGTCACCAAAACTTACTGCATATAAGCAGTTGCAATAAGTGCGTTGCAGCGGTTGCAGTTGCAGCAGTAGCAGCAGCAAGTTAGTTGACAAGATCGAGATCGAAGGAATTCGCAAATAGCGTTCGCGTTGTCTTAGACTTTCGCATCCAGCAATAATGTAGTGCTAACTTCAATCATTGTACCTGCGGGTTACGAATTTCCTCTCTGTCATTAGAGAGAGCTACAACTTCGTTGTTTTCACTCGTAAGTAGCAGACAGGTGAGAGTGTTTGGGTTCATGTTTCTCACCTGTGGTCCACTGTGAACTTTAGCACCGACCTAAATTTAGTACGGAGCGCACATTTCTAGTGCGCTTTTCTTTCTATGAAGATTTCTGCGCCGCGCTTTTTATTTCGTATTACATTGTCTCAACCGACACCAAGATGTTTTAATGACTAGAGGTTATTGCCCCACCCTATGTTTGAAACTTTCTATATTTACTACTTGGTGATATGCCTTTTTCATCGATGTTTGCAAGATTTGATGTGCCGAGCCAGTTAATGCCTTTGATAACAAATTATTTGTATTAATGAAGCCATTAAAGTTAAGAAATTTGTATCCAAAGTATATTCTTACAATTTTTTTTGTTCGTACGGGGCTTTCAGGTACACTACAATGACGACTACTCGGGGTCCAGGATTATACGAATTCCTTATAGAAGCGGAGCTGCAACAGTATTATTCAGGGATTAAAAATGATCTGAAGGTATTTTCCATACGTCAACTGATTTTGTCTGTTAACTAAAATTTCATGATGCTTAGTCAATTGAGTTATTCCATGCTCTTACTTAATTCTCAGGTTCAGAATGTGTCACAGCTAAAATATGTCACAGAGGAGGATCTTCAACAGATTGGCATGACCAAACCAGAAATGCGGAGGTTGAAAAAGTTTTTTCAACGGCACTTCCCTCAAAACTACATATCCAAACTAAAGAAGGTAATTTAAAATTGAATATGTCTCCTGTTCTGTTAGAAGTACTAAACTAAATTTTGCGAAAGGGCTGATGTCATATTTTGCTGTAACTTGATTTCAGATGATTCGTCCCAAGAAGGAAGAACCTTGTAGTATGCAGTCTCTTCTCCCTGATGATAACACTGAGAAGCCAGCCATTCGTGTGCCAAACAAGCATATCATACCTGCTGAAGCCATTATTGTCAATAAAGAACTGGGAGCTGGGGAGTTTGGAGTTGTGCAGCAAGGTGTATGGACTAATGACCGTGATAGGGTAGGTGTTCAGCCTGTGCTGTTTTTATAACTAAGCCTTTTTTCTGAATAATTGCAAAGTAACCTTTCAATAATACTTGTAAAATTTGCTGCTTTTAGATCCAGGTGGCCATTAAGTGCCTCAGTCGTGAACGTATGCAAAATAACCCAATAGAGTTTCTGAAGGAAGCTGCCATTATGCATGGCATAGACCATGAACACATTGTTCGTCTGTATGGTGTTGTTCTTGACACAAGTGCTCTTATGCTGGTGTGTATGCAAAGTGAAAAATTGTGAAATTGTGAAATGAAAAATTGTTTCTTGGCAACTAATTATATGTCACATTTATAATTTTAGGTCACAGAACTTGCTCCCTTAAGATCATTACTGGAATGTCTGAAAGAACCTTCATTGAGGGCTAGCTTTCCAGTTCTTTCCCTGTGTGATTTTGCTATTCAAGTCTGTGATGGGATGCAGTACTTGGAGACAAAGAGACTTATACACAGGTTAATTTTGATACACTTCTGTTCTCATCAATCTTTAATGGTTTTTACTTAACTTGCTTTGATTTTCTCAGGGATCTGGCTGCACGGAATATTTTGGTTTTCTCTAAAAACAAAGTGAAGATCTCTGATTTTGGACTGTCACGAGCCTTGGGTGTCGGAAAAGACTACTATCAGACTAACTTTAATGTTAACTTGAAGCTACCGATTGCATGGTAAGTACTCTTAAAATTTTTTTACCTTTTAATCAATGTCAAGCAATATTTATCATGAGACGGACGTTTTAGGTGTGCACCAGAATGTATAAGCTACCTTCGATTTACTTCGGCTTCTGATGTTTGGGCTTATGGGGTCACCCTGTGGGAAATGTTCAGCTATGGCTTTCAACCTTGGGCTGCTCTCACTGGTCACCAAATTTTGGAGGCAATAGATGAGCCTAATTTTCAGGTATTGTACTTAAATTTAACACCGGCTTTTTATTTATGAGGATTTCTTGATAAAATTTTTCAACAATTGGTTTAATTTTCAGCGCTTAGAACAACCTGAATGTTGTCCGAAGGAGTATTACAGTGTCATGTTAAAATGTTGGCAACATGATCCATCAAAGAGACCCAGATTTTGTGATCTTATGGACATTTTACCCGAAGTATGTTGTTTTTCAACTTATAAGCAAATCAGAAAGATGTTGCATTGTTCTTACATTGTGTTTTTTTTTATAGTGCAAACCAGAACAAGTTCAAGCTGTTCATGATGCTCTTGGCGAAGGTCAGTTTCGCCGCGAGCAACTTCTGTATCGTGTTGGAGATGTCATCACTGTGATAGACAAACTGTAAATACCTTATACATACTTCATTGTTCTCTTGTTCTTCTTTAAGACTGCTCATGCATGTGTCTTTTTATCATTGACTGAAATGTTTTTTTCAGACCACTTCCCGCTGTGACAAATGTATGGAAGGGTGTCTTAAGTAATGGGAAAACTGGTCTGTTTAACCCAGCTCACACTGTAGCTTACATTGGAAATAACTTGCCTGCTGCTAATATGCCTGGAGAATTTACTCGTGGAGGTAATGCACTCTCATTTTAAGATGTATGTAGTTAATGCAAATTTTGAAAGATAGCTTATATAAAATGTGTGATCTCAGATGGCAGAAATACATTTTCATCAAGGCGTCGTCTCCGACCAGAAATGATATCAAGACCCCAGGGAGACCTTCAGCATTGTGGACATGTTGGACGTGATGGAGCCTACTTTGGTGACATATCATTCATGGGAGGGAAGGTAACAAAAACTACTTCAGTAGATGTGTGTTTCTTATGTTTTATGTGCAGTCTCAATGTTGTTTTTAACTTGTAGCAATACAGCACATTGCCTCGCCAAGTGGTGACCCCATACAAACCTCAAGAGGACACTGGTTGTGACACTTCAGATGTCACTGATCGCGCTCCTCTTCTCAAAAGCCATGGACATGGTCCTCAAGGAGGTATACCATTAGCAGCCTTTGCTTTAATATTTTTTTTGGTAAATTTGTGAAATTTATGACAAGCTTTTTTTTTTTTAATTTTGTTCCAAACTTCAGATGGGAGCTGGTCTGATTTCCCAGACTCAGAAGATGTTCCACCGATGTCCAAGCATTTGGCTAAATATTCTCCACCCAAAATCTCTCATCCAGTTCAAACCCCTGTACAAAGTGGTTTGCAGTCTTTTGCATATGAATCCTCTTTGTCTAGTTCCCCTCCTGCTGCTAACACAGATCAATTCGGTGCGCTTCACAAATCAGATCATGCCAGCAATCAACATTCTAACCAAATGATATCTGTGAGCAGTGGTGGGCCAAACATTTCTCATTATGGCTCTAAGCAAACTGCCCATCACAGAGCACATAATGGAACTCACAATCGATCCACCAATAAAGTCCACAGTGAAAATACCAATGGTATTCAAAATAGTGCCAAATTACAGAAAGGTCATGGTAGCAGCTCGCACCATGGGTCAAATCAATCTGGACAGAATATGGCACATGAATATCACGAAATATCTGATGAAGAAGAAGCTGTTGTAAATCTGGATGTTAGTGTTTCTCCTCGATAAGATGACATAAGCTATTATTTTCTTGCGTCGTTAATAATAATATTATTATATTCATTTCAGAAAACTTATGAACTTGGCAGCCTTCTCACTGAAATGGAATCTGCTTTTCCATCATTGGGTAGTTCTCCTCTTCCTTCTTCTTCCCAACCTCCACCATCACCTTTAGATGAAGACATCAACTTCCGCAACGAACAGCGGGAAATAGCTGCAAAATGGACAAGTGGACGCAAAAAACAAGCAACAGTAAGTACCAAAGGTTTAAAGACAGAGGCAGGTGGGCAGCAGCTGCAGTGGTTTTGAAGGAATTGTGGGTTCTACAGCTCAAGCAGCCATTTGCAACTGAGAATCGAAGATCTGTGGGCGGTTTTGCACCTGGAAAACTTCATGTTTCATCGGGGAAACTGCGTTTTGCTGCAAGTAGACTTTGTTTTTCAAACAGAAGACAGCGGTTTGGAGTTGAAAAAAAATTGAACCGAAATTTGCGGGTAAGTGTCGCACATGCAACCTGCTCTCTGCCCACCTTCCTCTGCGCCTTCCCTCTGCAATGTGTTAGGCCAATACTGGGATATTTCTTCTATTGCTTGTCAAAATGCACTTTTTTTTAGTTTTTATCATTTTGTTTCTTCATGAATTGTCTCATTTATTTCAAATTATTTGAGCAATGCTATGATTTATGATTTGTTGCACAGGTCAAACCTATATCTGCATCAGATGAGAGAACTCTGGATTCAGCAATCGCTATGGTCAATGAAATTGCTGCACGGTCTATGGAGGGAAGTGGCCATGGTGACGATTCTCCGAAAACTCCAGCCTCACCCAACAAACGCAAATTCTCTTTTCGTTTTCCTCCCTCGCATACCACTACGTCACATACTCGTCACGCTAGTCTTTCAAGAGGTTCTAGTGATGAACGTAGAAACTTCACAGCAGAAGCTGCGTCCATTCCAGACATGCAGGTAGTGGTCTTACATTGTTTATTTTCTCTTCTGGTGATGGTGGCTCTAATCCTTTGTTACTCTGGTTCTATCCCTGACCCTCCTTTTTTTTCTCTCTTGTTTTTTTTTTTTTTTTTTTTAATATTTTTAGTCTGGTTTATGTAGAAGCTTACTCTCTCTCCCTTGCACTCCTCCCCCTTCTCTGGATGCGAGTCTGGAATCATTAATGGCAAACAGCCCTATTCCATTACGTTTACCTCTTTGGGACCGTGCTTCAGCTGAATTCTATTTTGCTAGATCACGCGATTTATTAACTAAGTGCCCTCCATACATGAAAGGTCACAGCCACCTGTCCCGATCCCGATATCAGAATCAGAATGAACGAGGGGGTCACTTGATGAGAGCAGGATCAGTTGGCAGTGAAGGCCGCTCCAAGCAGCTGAGTAAGAACGTCTCTGATGGCCGAATTTCAGAACACTGTGATCGTATATCTTTGTGCTCTTTGGGTTCAAGTCCTCCCATTGGCACTGGTTCCTTAACTGAGCTGATTCAGAAGTATGGTTCTCCTCCGAAAGAGAATGGGCACAGCAAAGTTGGGAGGAGCCTAACTGAGCTGATGCAGCGGTATGGCTCACCGCCCAAGGACTCATTCTACAAGTCTGGCTCAGGGAAGCACTCCGTTCAAGCACGATTCTCTGTTGGAAGTCCTGTGAAAAGCTTTGCTGCTCTGTACAAGGGGACCGCGGTCAGGAGCCCACCTCGCGAGCGTGATTCCGGGGCTGTCGGTTATTCCAACGGTCACTCCAACGGTCACTCCAATGGTCACTCCAATGGTCACTCCAACGGTCACTCCAACGGTCACTCCAACGGTCACTCCAACGGTCACTCCAACGGTCACTCCAACGGTCACTCCAATGGTCACTCCAACGGTAACTCTAACGGCCACTCAAATCACTCCTCTGGCTTCGGCGGGGCTTATGGACAGGACATGGTGGGGGCGGGGTCGGCCAAGCAAAGGATGTCTCTGCCTGCCTCGGTGCCTGTGCCTAAGATCCACCTTAGCTTTGCGGTGTCTGAGGACAGCAGCGACTCGCTGTCGTCGTCCGAAGAGGAGGAGGACATCTCTCGTCGGAGCCGGAGGACCAAAGTGAGGCGACAGTCCAAAGCCCGTTCGGCGGCTGCGGCCAGTGCTGCCGCGTGCAGTTCCGATTCGAGTCCTGACTTGGGCAACAGCAACGGTGGCGTCGGGAGTTCCTTGAGGAGTGTCCTCGCGGACGTAGTCGCCGGCCTGTGGGCTGGCAGATCGCCCCCGCCGGCGTCGTCCTTCCTCCACTCCCTGTCGCCTCCCTACCCGGGCCATGGCGGTGTCGGCATTTCGGACACCTCCTCGGAGTCGGAGAACCTCGACCTGTCGGAGTACCCGGAGTTCGCTCGTGACTTCCTCACCTTTCCTCCCAGTCCCGCCCCTAGTCCCACTGCCTGAGGCCTGATGCTGCCAAGGGGCGTGTCCTGTCTTTTGGAAGCCCTTGCTTGTTTTGTAATTCGATTAATCATAGCGTAAGTCTGATTAGGCATAGGACTTTGAGACTGAATGAAGACTTTATGTAGCTTTTTCATTCATTACCAGTAATGCTCAAAATGTAGTTAAATTGTGTACCCTGATTGTGTTTTAAAGGGGCTCCTACTTTCCTATGTCATTTTTTTGTGGACATGTTTGTTCCATCCACATATCATGTACCTTTATTCCAATTACATTCCCTTTTCCCCCTGGACTCTGATTGATTCAGACTTGCAGACTTTATTATTTTCTGAATATTTAATTTCTGTTGTACTAATTTTTTTCTACACTCTATGTTCTGTTTCTTTCTCTATCTTAACAAATTTTCTTATTTTTTTTAAAAAAGTTGATTTTTTCTGTATTTTATTATTTGTTTCTTTTGTTTTCACTTTTGGTTTTGTTTTTTATTGTTTTCTGCCTGTCCTTTCCCCACCCTCATTTCTACCCTGTAGTCAACACTCAGTGCAGAAGCCAAAGCTGTATACAGCAGTCTTGTAGAAAATGCAGCAGATGAAGCTGCTGGAGTTGGGGTTGCCTCTGCGGAAAACAATCCTCTTCGTATGTTGCGTTCTGTCCCGGTCGTTCGTCCCAGAGTTCGAGGCAATAAACATCAGGTGTGTGGATTCACATCAGTTTGTACTTTAACCATCTGTTGTCTTGAGGTGTTTTTCTTTTTGTCTAATTCTATTCCTTTTTAATTTTGTTTGTCGCGTCCAATGAAGAACAATGAGGGAGCATCAGTTGAGACTTTGGGCTCAATTCGCTCGCTTCAACGATCCAAAGTGCCTCCTCCCCTCCCTCCTATTGGATGGTGACTAGAATTTCAGTACCTTATCTTGTTCTTCATGCATTCCACTCTTGTGTCTTATAATTCTATTTTTCATCACCTTTCAGTGGTAGCACATTTGAAGAGGCAGAATGTGAAATTGATCATCAAGAAACTGCAGAGCAGCGAGGTTTGTACTTCATTCTACAAATATCCTCAATTGCTTTTCTACTATTTTTCTTTGGACTTATGAACATGTTTTGACTAAATTTTTGTTTGAACAGCAGAAGATAATCCAATTCCACTCCCTCCCAGAGATCGCACTAGACCTCAAACTTCAAGTAGCAAAGCTCGACATCAAAGAAAGCATCCTCTTATAATTCCAGCTAATGGGATGTCCAGAGCACTAGCCATGGCATCAAGGGAAACACAGTCTTCTGATCAGGCAGATCAAAGTCATGCAGGGTAAATGCTTATCCTGAAAAAGATCTTAATTTTGCTATTGATTGTTTCCTTAAAAAACAAAATTTGATTGACACTTTATTTGATGCTCTCCCCTCAGGTCACATGATGATAGCTACGATGAAAGACTAGCGTGTGAAATTGACAGGCTGGATGACTTGGAAATCGATGCGACTGATGGAGCACATGAAGAAGCAAGTCTTGTTACTCTCGACAGTGGTATGGGGAACCTTACAGTAGGGGACCCTGTCTTTCGTTTGTCTGATCATGTGTCATGTGAAGATTTGTTGGAGTTTGCTTGTGATGGCCCCAATTCACGACGCACTCGGGGCAAAGCACGCGGTGTCGACTCTGACGAAGTTCGAATCATGGGGAAGGTCTTAGGGAACAATGTAAGAATAAAATTATTAAATCCCTTTGAGTAGGGTTGCCTTTTTGTGCATAACTAATTATGTTCAAACTGTGTTTGACAGGTTCATGTAGATGCGTGCCTCAATGCACTAAATGCTGCTGACTGGGATGTTCATCGTGCCATAAAACTTGTCAGACTTCAGGCACTGCTGCAGTCATCACTTGATTTAGCTGATTGTGGACAAGCATTGGACAGTTGTGGTTGGGATGTGGCAAGAGCTGCAAGTTGGCTCCTTGCTAACTCTGATGTTGGAGAAACTACTCATGTTTAGGAATCTTAAGGTCCCTCTGTTCTTTGTCTAGAGATGAAATAGTTTTATTGAGAATGGTGTTCAGATGAACTGGTTTCAGTTTGTACCAAGTAGATCTAGTTTGTACAATGATACCCCAACCCCCACCAATCCCAGTGATTTTTAATTTTTTTAAATTTGGACGTAGTTTGAGGGTATGGAATACACAGGGCAGATTAGTATGAAATTAATTTTGTGTGAATATTTTGTCACGTTTTAAATCATGAGACAAGGGCGGCCTTTGTCTTATGCCTAAATGCATTTATATTTATATAGTCAGTTTTAATTATATTTTTCCTTGTTTTCTTGTGTGATAAAAGCGATATTCTTTTCTTTTAACAATGATTGTTATGATTTTATTCAAGAGATTTTTGAGGATATTATAAGTGATATCATGTGAAGACCTACCAAAGTTACCTTTGTATTTTAATTAATTTCTTTTATTTGGGCTTTTTATGTTGTTTTATCCCTTTCCAGCAGTATTGTAATACTTCCAGGGTGCTTTGATTTCTTTTCCCAGTTGTAATCACAAACTAACCAATGACTCTTCTTTACTTACACATTTGTGTGAAGTTTGTGGTGGCTCTTTTTTATATTTGCATTATGTATTCAGGTGACAGTCTTCCCTAGCCTGTGTTTGGGAATAAGTCTGCTTTCTGAAGTCAAAGTTGTGTACCTGTTCATTTCATTCAACTGCCTTGATACATTTTGAAGACCTGTCTTCAGCCAAAATCTACAATGAACAAAAGTAATCTGGAGACTGCATAAAGACTGGTTTTCATTTTTTGTTTTTGTATTTTCTTAACAATTAAGCCACAATTTATTACTGATTCTGAGCATTAAGAAAATGTCTCATTCAACCCTATATCCTAGTAAAATAAGATTGTCTTTGCATTGTGCAATTCATACTCATGCTCACATTATGCATTTTTTGCATATTTTCCTGAGCTTGTGCAAATAATATAGGCTTAAGTTGGTGTTCAGCTGTTTGGTATGGTGCCTGTGCCAGTATTAATAGCTTTTGTGGAATCATTTACTGTCGTGTTTTAACAGGTTACATGCCTAACAAGTTTGGAGCTTGAAGAGGTTTGTCATGTGGTCATATTAGGTCTCTCATCTTCAATGTGGCCATACAAACATGTCCATCCATATTTTGTCTTACATATCCCTTAATGTTGTGCTGTGAAATTGGAGTAAACAGAACGCACAATTCTAGCTTGGGGCCATACCAGGCAGTACCATTTATTTTGTATACTCAACTTATCTTTGCTGATATATCAGTGCTTTAAACAGGTAGATAGGGCATTACAACGCGTCAAAAACAATGTATTCGTGCTTATCGCTGAAACATTATTCCTCTCCTCCATTTTGTTTGTACTTTTTGAAATGTTTTTGACTGTATTTTACCAGGAGTAATGAGAAAATGATCTGATTATATGTAAAATGTGCTCACAAATAAAAACTTCTGATACCAATTAGAATCTTTCATTGATGAACCTGCCTCCCCGCCGACGGCGGGAACTCTTTTGCATCCTAGGTAAAGCTAGCCCTAGACAGAGCAGCGTCACCAAAGTAGGCCAAGAAGGTTGTTTCCAATTTTTAAAAAGTCTCAAATTTATTCTAGACCTAAACACTGCTATACACAAGGATATAGAAAAGAAAACCTCATATATTCACACAAAGAGAAAAATCAACAACAAAAGAAACATCACAGAATAGCATATTGTTCATACAATAGGTCCCTGACCATGTAGTATTCGTCAGATAGACAGCCTTCCAATGTAACATGGCCTGCTTCAACCTGAAGGAAAAGAATTTGGAATGAACACTAGTTCAAATCAGAAAAACACTGCCACAAAATCTTTGAGTTACCTTTCGAACTGCAATAGTATTGTTAAAACACCATAAGACACCACCAGAAAACTCTGAAGGAATGCTATGTTTTAAAAGAACTTGTTTGAAGTCCGATAACTTCAGTTCATTGATAAGAACTGTATTGTGGCCTTGAACCTGTAAATGGGTAAAGATGTATAATCAATCATTTTAATTCTTAACTGAAAAAAAAAGTATAAAAATGTTGAAGTTTGGTGCTCTTATTCATTAAATACCTCATTCATAGAAACTGGTTCTAAGGTGAAAATTTCGTCTTCCATGCCATCTAAAATAAAGTACATATTAGTAAGTGACCTACAAAGAAATGAAGAATCTTTACCCAAAAAACAGAAGTCAACCTTACCCTTCAATAACTTGGCTTTTTCCTCATCATCATCCACATCCATTGAAGAACGTACGGCATCTCGGGTGACATCTCTACTCACAATTTGAGCATCAAGCCAAGCCAGCTCTGCATCCTTACCCCTTTTAAAATCAAGAGAGGTAACTAGGGCATCCGTTAATCGTACCTGAAAATTGGGAATGTATAAAGAAATGATTCAATTTTTCTCAAAAGAGGCCCTTCCCATTTTTAAAACTTAATTTCCTTATTCAATCCCATACCTGATAAATGTGAGTCTCTGTGGTGACATCAATGATATCTCCCAAACTAGGGGCGAATATTCTTGCATCAGTCCACTGTTGGCAATGCTGCATCATTGCACGTGTGCTGTCAGGTGTGCCTCTAACCAAAATTAATCGCCTAGGCCGTAGTTGGCCCAAAATTTTTTGTAATGATTCTCCATCAGATCTTCCTTCAAAGTCAATGAATTGAACTTGGGCAGCCACTCGGACTGTATGAGTTGCAGTGATACATTTAGTTGGAACTTCCTCAGGGGGATCTGAAAATAATAAGCCATGAAAATATAAGCACAAATTATGTAAGGTATTTGGGCTGAACTGCAACACATATATCTGTTGAGACATAAAATATCCATGTACCTGCTATGTCCATCTCTTTTAAAATAATGTTTTCCTTATCAGCTTCAACCTCATTTCCAGCATCTACTAGTTTATAGTCTTCTGGCCTAAAAGAAAAAAAAATAGAATAAGTATTTTAAAATTACTTCACTAAGCGAACTTATTACCATCACAGACGATCACAAACCTGATAAGCTCCCCATATTCATCATATTTCATTTTTTCTTCAAAAAATGGAAACAAAGGGTATTGCTTTTTAGAGCTTTTGAAAAATCCAGGATGTGACTTTGCTTCGTTTTTCACTAAGAGGTCATGTTTTCCCTTAGAAACAGCTGTGTGGTCCAGTTCATCTTCAGAATCAGAGCTCAGCTCAGGATCCACCCTGACAAAATGGCTGGTTAGATCAACAGTGCCAAAACAAACCCTCTGGAGCACTTGAATATGTAATTTAATTTGTTACCCCTTTTTCTTTTTAGTTGTTTCCTTCATTTCTCGTTCGCGTCTGTAATGCTCATCGAGCTCAGCTCCTTCTAAACGAACTCTCCTTTGCACTTCCAGCTGAAGAGTACAGCCAGAGCCATGTTCAATGAGCTCTCGTGCCAATGTGCCTGGGGATGTTCTACAAAGTTTTTCTTAATACGATGAGATCAACAGAAACTGAAGTGCATATGTGAGGTTTAGGATACAAATTACAGCAATTTACCTGCATGTCACAATAATACTATTCTGAGGATTGCCACACCATTGCAAAAAAAGCTCTCTAGAAAATCCGCATTCCATATCTGGCGTACTCGCCAACACCACCTACAGGTTCATTATAAATTAAGATGGTTGTAGGATATTAAGAAAACCAAAACAGATAGGAAATTTAAGAGTACTCACTTTGGGACTTGGTACTTTGTTCAGCTCTGCAATACTATGGCATAATTGAAGGTGCTTGAACTGAAAAGGGTTGTTGCGTGCCCCTTCAAATGACCTCATTAATTTGTCACTCATCCATTCAATCTAAATAAATAATATAAGTACTTTAAAATCTTTTTCAATCATTTTTAATCTTATGTATCAAAATTTTTTGTCTATATTACCTGACTTTTGGCAAATTCAACCACATTGTATGAAACATTATTCAAGAGTGCCAATGAATATGCAAGAAGTCCAGATTCTTTGTTACGCCAAAGTTGATCCAACATATGAGCTAATTCAAGAACACGCCCAGCAGTGTCAACAGCGACCAAAACATTTCCATTGTTTCGCAAAGTTTGAAGAATGTTGGCTGAAAATAGACAAAACTTTTAAAGACAGATCTAGGAGAAATGACTGACAATATTTCAATATTTAATGGAACACTAACTCATAAGCTTTTCATCTCTAGTTCTTCTCCTTGCTTGTTGATATGTTGCATTGAAAGCATCAGTGATAAAAAGTGATGGACGCTGCAACTTTTCAAGTTCACACCCATTAAGATGACGCTCTTTTTTGTGGTTGAAGTCTGTTGCATATATAATATCCTCCTCTCCAATTTTTACTATCTTCCATATTGTACCTCCAATCATGTGTCCAGCAGGTAATGGCGTGATAGTGAGTCCTAAACCCTTTCCTGCCGAAAATAAAACACAAAAGTGCAAAAGAGGAAATAAAAAATTGAGAGAACCTTGAAACCACACTCAACAAACTTTGCTGAGTTTTGTACCTTTCATTGAAATGCTCTGGTTGTACTTTAGCTGAACTATCTTGTCAAATGCAGCATCCACATCATCAAGCGTAAATAAGGAGAAATCAGAGTTATTGTGCCATGACTGAAACAGCAAGAGACAGGAATTATTGAAATCAACATTTAAAAATCTTGACTAACATGTAGCTAACAATGCCGCATTTTACAATAAGTTACCTGAAAGAGGTCATACATAAACATTTGGCCCATTTTGTAAACAGGGATGGTTGCATATATTGGACAACTTAAACCACACTTGCCAACCATGTAAGGTAGCGCACCTAAGTGCAATGGATCTGGATAGGTTAAGAGAACTGCATCAATTTGGCTGGAATATCTACAAAGCGAAAGAAAAGAAGACCATTAAAATATGGCATATAGAATGGAAAAGAAACCCTTCAAGGCGATAAATAAAGTTACCGGCGCAATTCTTTGATAAACTCCGGGTCAAATTTTTCGTTCCACCCACAATCTAGGAGGAACCTGAATTCATCAACTTGAAGTATATAGCACGGAGGAGATTCATCCATTGCCCCCGACACAGTATGGAGTTTTATAATTGATGTAGATGTCATGTTGAAGTACCTACAAAAAATTAACGTGTAGTTAGAATTCCACTGGTCGCTGATGTGCACAATTCAGGGCCGTAAAACAGATAGTATATTTCTTGATCAGAATAAATTTAAAAGGCATCTCTTAATTATGGCTTTGTAAGTGTAATCTCATTGAAAATGAAGCAAAATTGACAAATTTTACTAGGTTAACTGACTTTTATTTGGGTTTCAAAGGTAACAACTACCTAACGTTTCCTCTAAGCGGATGAAATATAGAAGAACAATCTTCGAGGTGCAATTTAAACGGAAAAGGGTTAAACTAAAGTCGAAGAAGCCGATGAAATCAAGTCATATCCACAACGCCGAACGAAAACAACCAACCGAGCAAGCGGCATGACGGATCAACGTCATTTGTTTTTTCGAGCCATGTTTACATCAGTTTTGCCACCGAAAGCAGCACCCCACGACCCTATCCGGCCAGCTGCTGGCTCTAAACACCCATACAATTGAATATCTTTTCTAAATAAGGTACTTTCTGTGCCTTCAACATTCAAGTGTGCAGTACAAAATCCCTGCTAAAGTAAGGCTTAAGAGACTCGTGACTCGCGGGGGTTCCCCAACCTGCCTTCCACTTCCCGGTCTTATTGCGGCGCGGTGTATTTGAAGGTTTCTTCGATCCGGACAGCACGAAACATATACTCGATGGTTTCAGATTTGTGTAAACTGTGTTCAACATCAACAGAAACGAGGCAACCTCTTCTGCTACCAATGTTGTATAATTGGCTATGTATTCAGTATTTACCAGGCGCGGTTTAAGGACCCTCCTGGGATGGGTCATACTTCCACGGAGGGTGACTGTCTCAAACAAGACACAGCCTGCATTTGAGGTTTGCATTCTGAGTCCCGGGTTTGTTGTAGTTGCTTACTCGAACGCTAAAGGTCTGCTGAGGCCTAACAGCGTTGATGATGAAGACAGGGGAGGCGATTGTGTATATTTTGCCTACCAACAGGGGCGCGTGATGCTGGTTGCCTATCAGGCGTTTAGGGAATCTCTCGAGGGAGAAGGGGGGGGGGGAATCGCCCCTTCCCTTAAACTGCGCCTGGTACTTACTGAGCCCCAAATAGCCAGAGGCTCCATTTGTTTTCTGAATTTGGCATCCAATAAGTTCCCAAAGATTTCCTCTCAATGAGCCTCTCCACGCTTTGACTGATGTGAACGGTGTGGTCTTTCTCAGGCCTTCCCGACGACACTGAATAGGAAATGTAAAATTGTGTAGAGCCCAATTTTTTTTCCCCCTAAACAGCCTAGATTGCTTTTTGCACGGCTGGGGTTGTGAAGTGTCTGAGATCTGGAGCGTGCTAAGAAGTTGGTAGAAGGAATACAACCTAGAAATAACAGAGGACGCATTAGTTTCAAAATCTCCTGTATTTTGAAACTCCACAAAATTTTACAGGTTTTTTTTGGGTTACACATTTTACACATTGATTGCATAGTTTTGAATAATGATTCTAGTGTACTGTGAAAACAAACAAACAAACCTCATTCTTTTACTGAAAGCAACTTCCTTAAGTGCCTCATGACAAGAACAAAAGAAATTGATGAAGAGTGTGTGAACCTGTATGCTTTGTGCTACAGAAAGCAGCCTCATCTGTCTCGAGAGTGTCATTTCAGGTGCGGATTCAGGGAGGGGAGGGGGACGGGACTTTAGTGACATCGCACCCCTCAACCCGTTTCTGGATCCGCGCCTGATCAGTTTCCTATTCCAGTAAGAGAAAGAAAAGGGTATTTGAATACATGACATGATTGTTTAAATTAATTATACGAAAGCTGTGTTTTAAAGGAAGATTTTCAGTGCACTTGTTTTTTTTTCTGCTTTGCTCAAATAGACTGAGAGAGGAGCCTCCTTTCTCCTCATTTACATTAAACAATATGCCATTACAAAACCGATGGACAGAAGTAAACTAATTCAAAATACAACATCTTATATCTAAAATGACTTAGACAAAGGATCCAAGCAAGACTTAATAGTTCTACAGCTTAACAATTTAAAATTATTTTCATGAAAGAAAATATTCTCCTTTACAGGAGTTGATAGTTGATTTCTACCAAAAAGAACTCAAGACGATAAAAATGAAAACATTGCTTTTGACCAATACCAATTCAAATAGAAATTTTGTAAAAGTTTTAAGTTCTTTTTTACAGCTTCAATCCATACAAAAAATGTTACTGAAATGAAAAGATGATGTCGAAACAGAATACAGTAGTTTGATTCTCAAGATGAAAAAAATAATATCACAACCTATTTAAAATTATAAAATAAGGATTCAAGAGAGGGAGAGGCAAAATGTGACCTCATGTAATTTAATTCAATTTTACATAGTTTGCACAGCTCCTATTGTGTGCCAAAACAACCAAAGAACCTTGAGGACCTTGAGGGAGCTCGGACTAATGTGTTTAAAATTCTGTCTTGTTGGCAATACCGAGACGTCACATATGAATGACGCATTTAAAAAAACATTTTGGTTCAGGGATACAATGTAAAAGTACGTTCCGTACAGAAAAACAAACAAACAGTTTTGAGTATTATGTACAACAATTGAATTACCTAATAAAGCTTATATCCATCAATAGAATATTTTTGTTGATCATTATTAAAAATAAATAAAGCAAGGATTTTTCTCATTTACAATACACATACGTAATTTTGTACACTAACGACTAGGTCTAAGATTAATTACTTAGGAAACCTTTGGCTTTGTGTAATTTCCATAGTTTTTCTAAAGAAATACAGACATCACACAGTGACTTAACAAGTATTGGAATGATGATGAAGGGAGACAATTCGAAGCTGTAGACAAACTAAGACTGTAGAATGCTGCAGTCATCTCTAGGTGAAGTCCTGAAAACAGTGGCATCTAGCAAAGGGGTGAGGTCTTGCCAAAAAGTCTGCTCCAAAAGGCGCATACCTGAATGTTTGTCCCCTGCCACTGCTCACCATTGCTTGAAAAAAAAAACACAAGAACATAACGTTCCTAGGATAAATATTAGCAAGAACAGTGTATTGATGAATTTTCCTCAATACCTCCTGGTCAATGATAAGCTTATTTAAATAGTTTTGCATAAAGTTGGACCCTTATGCACCAATAAACATTCCACAACTGCATTGAACCACATGCAAGATAATCTGCAGAATAATTTTGCCCTCCGATCACTCATTCAATCTTTCTAAATCTTCACAGCACAGAGACAACACTAACCGAAATCCTTCAGATCCAGAACAACACAACATATAAATCCAAGAATCCATTATGACCCTGAAAAGTCTCATTGTATTAATTGTGACGATGTCTGTATGAGTGTATACTAACGACAAATAAAGAATCTGAATCTGAAGAATGAACTCTTATTTTGTTATGGAGGGAAGCTACTCTCAAGGGATACTACCAACAAAACATGTTTATAGGACCCATTAAGCACAGAAAAATACAGAAAAGTTCTCATGTGAGTAAAGGATTAACTTAAAAAACAAAGTCAAATCCACAAAACACTATTCACAAATAAAAAGAAAAACATTGCAATAGAAGGTTCTTTAAACAGTGATTTCTGCAAAGATGACTAATCTTCAATAAGACATCTTGTAATAAATTATAGACAACTTACGACTATCCTTTTCCACATTTCTTTAACCCGATCCTTCAGCATACTTTTCACAGACAAGATTAGAAATAAAAGGAAGCACACATAAGAACAATTTCTCAAATGAAATTATTACTTGACGATAAAAAATAAATGTATCATATTTGCTATGAATGTTATTGACCACACTATATATACATATCCACACTTTTTCTCCTCCAATAATTTGCATAAACTACAGTACTTATTATATACGAATCACAATGAAGAAATTAACTTCTGTTCTTACTGGCTGAGCAAAGCACGGAGTGCCAGAATCCGGTGATAACATTTTGAGTGGTTTGCTAGGGCCAAGTTTGGGGGCCTTCCTAATGGATCAACTTCATAACGCATCCCCAATACTTACAAAAGGACGTCCATTTACAAAAACGAAAAATACTGAGAGAGGTTTTGCTTGATAAAGTTGAAAGAGACAGTTCAAAATATTATTGACAAGGGAGCCCTTTGAGGGTAAAAAGGAAAAGAAAGAAAATAACAAACAGCCTCCATTTTCCATTAAAAACAAAAACAAACAAAACTATCTAACTTTAATTTTAACACCAATAAAAGACCACCTTTGAAAAAGTGGAGGCTAATTCACAAGGTAATTCAATAGTTATATAATATGCATTGAAATAAAATATGTTACAACGGGTCAAAAACAGTCAGTCTTCAGAGCAAATTATGTTAAAATATATAATAAAATGTTTTTTACTGTTATGGAGAGGGAATAGGTAAGATAGCATCCAGCAATAATTTTCCATTCTTCTCACTCACTTCCCTCACTTACTCTAAAATTCAATCAGTCCACTTTTAAACTTACCTAGAACATCAATCTTACTAACACAGCATTTGCACGAGTTGCGCACACACTGACTTGTCGCAATTAAATATTCACAGATAAAAAGTTAAAATTGTTTAAAGACAACAAGACTCCTATCAGAACGAAGCAAAACTCCCAGTAATATGTACAAAAACGATACTTTGGCAACTGACGTGGAGCTTCGTTCTATGAGCGACAACCCTGCCGAGTGGCAGCACGTCGTTTCGGAGAGAAGCCCGGCGCGAAGGAGGGCGGCAGGGCGGCAGCGCGCAGGGCGCCACCAGGACGACGTAGCCCTGACGGTGTCCTGGGCGACGACGGCGTCCTGGGCGGACCACGCCGCCCCGCCGTCTGCGGCCGCCTAGTGCGGGCGTCTAGTTGACGAGGCACGCGACCACGAGGACGACGACGACCATCAACATGCTGAGGCCCCTCAGGGGGGTGATAACGGGACTCACTCCCGCTCCTGAAACAATGATACAGTGAGCATTTTCACAGTGGAGTCACAGTGGAGCCACGCACAGAGGAAGGCCGGAGAGGCACGACTCACCCGCCAGCACGGAGGACTCGGCGTAGTGCTTGTAGTGCTTGTCGTCCACCTCGTTCTCCCGGTTGCGGTTCTTGTTGGGGCCCCGGGACTCCAGAGCGGGCGGACGGGGCTGCTTCTCCTCCAGGAAGGACTGCACGTCCTCCTGCCGGTACACGGCGTGCAGCGTGGCCACGCAGCGCAGAGACATCTCCCCGGTGTCCTGGAAGTGGTGCGGCAGGACGCGGAAACTCAGGTTGAGGATGGACGTCTCCAGGGACTCCAGCACGTTTTTCTCGAAGTAGGGACCCTTGAGGTGGGAGCGCGGCACCTGGAAGGAAAACAAACCGATTTTGCAACACAGACCCGCAGTCCTGCCTCCTTGTAACGTGTCCGACACTTCTTCCCTTTGACTTTTGACCCAGACATGTGCCTGTCGTAAGAGCGTGGTTGAAACTTACCTGCATGTCGTTGATGTACCAGACGAGGTCGGCGGCAGGGTACGAGTCACTGGAGGTGCAGTTGATGTTGACCTCCTCGCCGACGTGGAAGCGGTCGCGGACAGTGCCCGAAATGACAGGCGGTCCGGAGGGAACTTCTGGGGACAGGACAGTCAGACCTTCATTCATGGCGGAAACTAGTTTGCACGTCAGCGTTTTCCGCGTCGACTCAACCAGACTCGAAAATCACACAAACTACTGAGCTACACTAGGTTGAAACTTGAGCTCGGAGGAAATGACAAACAAAACAGATAGATTTTTATCGCTCGTTCTATGCTGACCCAGGGAAAACTTGGTTGGATCAACAAACGAGTGAAAAAGGCGACGATTTCCCTCCCCTGTAAAGTTCCCAGCCTGCGGCAGACGGTCGTCGCGACGGTTTTCGGATGCAGCGGACATTAAAAGTGCAGCACGGCGCCTGCATGCAGCCCCCCCGGCATGCAGCAAGACGCAAGACGCCCTTGACACCAGGACGTCGTTCAACTCGGAGGCAAGACGGATGAAAGCGAGAGCCCAGCGTCAGCCGCGCAAGAACTCCGTTCAAACTTTGCTCATACTGAACGCGCCGACACTGCAGAGTCGGCCCTGCAGCCCCTTCTCCTTCCCTCCCGAGGCAGCCCAGCCAGGGCGACCCAAACCAGAAACCAACACCCTCCGTCCTGGCGGTCCTGGCTCGGTCCTGGACGCCAGTTTCTGCGGGCCCTATTGTGACTCCCCTCCCCCTGCCCCTCCCCGCACTCAAACTCTACTTAAACCAGTTTTCCTTTTCTTTTTTCTTCCCACCGGGGAGGGCATGCTGTTGCTGGCGGCCCTGGCGGCCCTGGCGGCGGGGAAGGGGCAGCAGGCTGCAGGCATGTTAGCTTGGCCTTCTTTGGGTTAGGTCGTGGCGCGGAGGGGCGCGCCCGGTATGGCGCGGCGCGGCCAGGCGCGGCTTGCGCAGTGTGGTGGGGACGGACGCCGCCAGTGTAGGCACCACGAGCACCTCGGCGCACGGCGGGCCGGCCCGGCCGCCAGGGGCGCTGCTGTCGCTGCTGTCGCCGCTGTCACGGCCGCTGCAGACTGACCCGAGAGTCGTTTTCGTCGCTCTGTCTCTCTCGCACCTACAAGGGACGCTCATCAGTGCGAGAGAGACAGAGCGACGACAACGACCCTCGGAATCAGTGTGCTGCCCCGCCGAACGCCGTCGCGCAAGTTGCGTGTATGGCAGCCTTAAACGCCCCGCAGCCCTCCAGGCCCTCCAGCCGACTCGTTTACAAAACATGCATATTTATAGGCAGCCGTGTAGGCACGCCAGGCCAACTTTGGGGCGCGCACAATTCAAAACTTGATTACGTAAAGCAAAGCAGTCGAATTTCCCATTTGCCGCCCCCGCCGAGGAGGAGCATCTTACGAGCCAATGAGCTCTGCCTTGCCGGCGCTGCCTCGCTTGCTTGCTGCCTCGCCGGCGCTTCAAACACCGCCTTTATTCCTTACTGCCGCGTTGCCGCGTTGCCGCCTTGCCGCGTCTCCTCGCTTCCAGGAATGCTGACTATATTCCCCGGGCCATTGAAACCCGATCGGCTCCCCGGGTGTCCAATCAGACTCGGCGTCGCTCACCACGCCTCGACAGTCGGCACGGCACGCAACGGCACGGCACGGCCACGGCAAGGCCGCGGCACGACGCGGATCGGGTTCTCCTAAAGTGGCCTCCGAGTGGACAGGGTCCGGGTCGAGGGTTCGAATCTCCATACCCCTTGGCTCGTTTTGGGCATTCAACAGTTTCAACAGAAAGGAAGCGGGATACTTTCATCCCTGATTGCGGACACGTTCAAATTCGGCGTTTTTCTTTCTAAACAGCTGCTCGGTTTGGAGGCAGAGCATCTCAGCTGCTTCCGTGAACCGTTGCTGGAGCCCGCGCGCCACCGAGCGCGCCGCCCACTTCGGGCCTCATTCAGGAGCTCACGACGGACAACACACGTGCTCTAGTCCAAACAAACAAAAAGGACTTTAAAACTCCCATGTGGAATAGCGGTTTACAGTGTAGTTGGAAATAAGTGCGGTGGCCGTCCGGTGACTTACGGTGCAGGGCGCGCATTTTGTCCCCGCGCTGCTCGCTGCCTCACTGCTCCGCGGGCATTGAGGCAAGGGACCCAATCCCATTTCGGGCTGTCTGTCGTTGTCTGGGCGCGACACGGCGCCGCGCGGAGGCACGCCGCGCCACGCACGCCGGTCCTAATTCCATTAGAAGGCTAACGTTCGTGGAATCCTGGCCGTAGGATCGGGCGCAGGGATCGCGAGCCGTGCAGGATCAGCACGGGACAGGGACAGGGTGGCCAGCAAATCCAGGCATGCAGGGCTTTAATCTTACTTAAGCAGGCCGCAAGCGAAGGTTGGGTGCCCCCCGACCAAACCACCACCCCCACCCCACCCCCTTTCCCACACCCAACACGTTACCCACCAACAATGGACATTTCCGCGGACTCGGAGGCTGTCTTAAAGTCCGGCCCCTCCCCGGAGATCTCGCATTTGAAGCGGCCAGTGGTGAGCCTGCTGACGTCGCGCAGAACCAGGTGTGTTTGGTTGGACAGCACCATCTGGAATCAGGAAGAAAATGGTCATCAGCGGCCCGAGAGGCCCGAGAGGGGCCAACGCGCAGTAATGCGAAGCGAGTTCCTCTCTGCCGGAATCAAGAACGCATTTTGAGAGATAGTCGTCCCCTCGTCTCGCTGGGGCTCGCTGTGCTAGCTGTGCTAGCTGGCCGGGGCCGTCCCTGATAGGGCGGGGCAATTCTCGTTGAAAAACTGCCCCCAAAGTGGACAAAAACAAAGTACAGAGCGCCATCTGGCGACCGGGCCGGGCGGGCTGGGCGGCCAGGCTCCAGGGACGCGCGGCGCGGCGGGCATGGCTTTTACAACACGTGGTCTTAACGCGGACGCGGTGTTGTGTCACTTGTTGAGAAAAGCGCTCCGCGAAAAAGGAGAGCAGCGGCGTTTTTATTCCCGAGACAAATAACTGACGGCCTTCACTCGCGTTTTCAAAAAATTATTTTTTGCAGTGTGCACGCAGTGCGCGCGAGATGCTTACGTCCACGTCGACCCCCGCCGTGTCGAAGTACTTCTTGGGGTTGCCGACCACGAAGGGCGCGAAGCGGAAGAACTCCCGGCCGTTCTTGAACCACTTGACGGTGTAGAGCGCGCTGCCCTCCAGGTCCTGGTGGCACACGAGGTGCGCCGGGGAGTGCGCCGCCACGTGGGAGGGCACGTGCAGGGCCGTCACCTTCACCGTCTCGGACGCTGCAACAACGAGGACAACACCGCGTCAAAGAAAAACACTCTCAAAGGACAACAAGCTCTCTCAAAGTCTCAGTCTCCTCGCTCAGAGTCGCTCTGTCTCTGTTTGTCTGCCCCCCCCTCTCTCTCTCCCGCACGTGCGCACCCAGCACGTGTGAGTGTAAGCGAGCGCAGCAGAAATCCCGAACGGCTTTGCCATCCCCAACTTAAATGCGATTGTGTCGAGCCTTGTCACCCCCCCCCCCTTCTTCCCACTCCCCCCTTTCCCACTTTTCCACTGGCAGCCGGTGAGTGAAACGACAATAATTCTTCATGAAGCATTGACACAGTCCTTGGGCCAAACTTAGGGCGGGGCGCGAGTGTGCCCCGCATTGCGGAGCAGCCCGGCGATCCGCCCTCATCTCGATATCTCGAACGCGTCGTCGAGGTGGGCGGAGCAGCCCGGCGATCCGCCTTCATCTCGATATCTCGAACGCGTCGCCGAGGTGGAGCCATGAAGTAGGGCTTTGTTACTGGAGTCCCGTCTCCCCAGCCGGGCCTGAAGCTCACTGCTCCGTTCCGCCGTCACAGCCTTCTGAGCGGCGGTGGAACGGCCCGGGGGATGGGGGGGTGGGACGGGAAGGGTGGGGGTGCCTGTCGTCTGCCGCCACGGCCCGTCAGCGACGTGTTGGGACTTGTCAGGACTAGGTTATGGGACCCCACGGCGAACCCAAACAATGCATTCATTTCATCAAAATCCAACAAAACAATAAAGTATAAATAAGTTTTTATTGTTGCTACTGTGTCATGAAACTAAAAAAATACGAACTTCATGACAAACTCAACATATATTTTGTCTATCAAATAAATTAGTCAAGTAGAGAAGCACCAGTTTGATGCACCAGTTTACTTGGTTCAGTTCACTTTTGAAACTGCAACTGACTCAGTATTGGCAAGGCACTTATTTGGAAGATAATGGTACAAAGGTTTCCTTCCACTGCATAGACATGATATTTGGAGCCAGGAAAGTGATTAACATCATGAAAATATATCACAGTACTACGCTCACGGATATGACACTGATGTACTTGGGTTAGCCAATAAAATAACACACAACACACTAGGGTTTCTTTTTGACTGAAATGGCTTCCCCAATACTTCCACGATTCCTTCGACGTACGCGGGGCCGTACAAAATTTCAGTTGAATTAGATATCTAAAAAATTATCTGCAGGGCCGCTGTTTGAACCTCTCGTCTGCTAGCGACGCCATGACACTCTGGGCCCGCCGTCCAACTCACGGCGCAGTGATCTTCAGGCCCGGCCGGGGAGACGGGACTCCAGTAACAAAGCCATTCTCTCATGGTGGAGCGCCAGGCCACTGGTGCAAGGCGCGGCGGTGCGCGCACGCCAAGGAAAGGGGTGGGTTTCCGCGGAAACATCGTTGCAAGTCGACACTGCACTGCGGCGCCCAAGAAAAAAGAATAAATTTGCCTATAAGGGCGACGAAAAAAGACAACAAATTGCATCGCCGTTCTCGAAGCCAGCAAAGGCCAGCAGCGGCACCACCGCAGACAGCCCGATGATCAAAAGACGGTCGTGCAGCTAGGAGCTGGGAGCAGCTGGAAGCTGGATCGGATGGCAGGGGATGGCTTCTGGTTAGGCGGCCAGGGCCAGCGGGGCGGGGCGGCGCCTGCACCTTGCTGGACGCGTAGCAGACGCCGCCCGCCGCCTTTGAAAACAAATACTTTGGCAATATCCGTCCGAGGACCTCATCACTACGCTCCCCCACGCGCCGTCGAGGACCGCCAGGCCCCGCCAGGCCCCGCCAGGCCGTGGCGCCGTCAGGCCCAGCCGAGAAAAACGTGAGGGTCGTCTCGTTTTACGGTGCCGGGGAACTTGACCCGCCTGTGCCGCTTGGCAGCTCGGCAGCTTGGCAGTCACAGTCCAAGTTGGATCGCCCCGGGCCCATTCCAAGTGTCTCAAAATCGGGGCGCTGTGTGTGAGCTGCGCGAACGTCGCCATTCCTTGGGGGCGATATTCGCGCCATTCGCGCCGCCGTCGTGGAGCTGGCGTGGGAAAAAAGCGGCCCGCATCCGGCGCGAGGAGTGAAGGGCTGATAGACATCAGTTAAAAATTCACTGGTGCCGTACTGGCGTGCTACCGGCGCGGCGCGGCCAGCACACAGTGGGCCAGAAGACCGGTGGAGGCGGCCAAAACTCAAGACGCGTTTTGAGCTCCAGAGTCGCTAAATGGGACTCGAACCAAACGTGCGACCCCACCAATGGATTGCTCTCTGAACGAGGAATCCATTGGTGGGGTCACACGTTCGGTTCGAGTCCCATTTAGCGACGCTGGAGCTCAAAACGCGCCTAGAGTTTTGTCCGCCTCCACGGTCTTCTGGCCCACTGTGCAGCAGCCGCCAAGTCGGTCGTTTATCTCCTTTTTAGGCGTGTGCGATGGATTGCGAGGAGGCGACTGCCGGACGGAGACTAACACGGGCAGGTGCGGAAGGGGCGCCGCCATTCAGCCGCCATTCTTCAGCCCGCGTTTCTACACACTCCCCCCTGCCCCTCCCCCTCAAGCACAACACTCCCTGCTTTCCCAATAGCGAGCCCCTCCCCCCTTGGCTGGCACGACTCCAATCTGCTCTCGATACTCTGTTCCTGCTGTAACGAACACTGCACTGCGCGTTCCAGAGATGAGACGCCGCTGGAAAGAACGAAAAAAAAACTATATGCAGAGACCAACCCCTTCGTTCCCACTTTTAATATAAAAATGAAAGAAAAAATTGAACATTTTCAAACAGAGAAGGACGATTTACCACGGCGGAGGTGGCAACCAAACACCACGGAGCAGCGACAGGGTGGCACGCAGACGAGACGGCAAGGAAATCGACTTTCGAGAAATCGACTTTAAGAAGCTTTCACGGCCCCTCCGGAGGAAAGCCGAAAGCCGGCCAGTCGTCCGCGCGGATCCCTTAAAACCAAAAGGACCGAAAAGACAGACAGCGGGTCGCCGTGCTGGTCGTCGCATAATTTGGGCCAAGGCGGGGCGCGGCGAGCGAGGGCTCTACAAAAATGGACACGGCTCCGCGACGACAGAGGGCAAGCGACGTCCGATTCGCCCCCTGCCAACTCCGGTTTGACCCGCGCCCTCGGTGGGGGCTCGGCTGGCCTCGGCTAGCCCCCTCAAGGGGCCCCTCCCCCTCCCAATCCTCCGCGGACGGTGTGGCGCGGCCAACACAAACCCACCGCGCGACTCATTAAAACGGAACCGCGGCACCGCGGCCGCGAATCCCAACTTCGCCGTAAACGCGGCGGCGCGAGCTCCGAGCCGCCCCGAGCCGCGACCCCCGGGAACAAGAAGGTGGCCGAACAAGCTACACCGTCAAAGCCCCCCGTCAGACACCTCGTCGCCCTTTTCCACAGTGCGGCCGAAACGAACGTCGCGAGCGTCAAATAATTATGCCACACACGGCTGGCCAGCCACGCGGTTTCCGACCGCCGTTTTTCTCCCCCCCCCTCCTCGCCACGACTGCCGGCACGGCCTGCGCCCTGCGCCTACACCGTGATGTGATTTTCGGCCGCCTCCCGCGCACAGCCTGCCGTGCACCGCCCCGCTGCTCCGCGGCCCCGGCGACAGACAGACGCCCGAGTGATAAGCGAGTTTACCCCCCCCCCCTGTTGAGGCAACGTCATTTGTACCTCTCCAGCGGCAAAGCAGCGCAGCGCAGTAGCAGTGTCCCGGCGAGGACACAGGCAGCGTCACACCAACGGGGAATGCCAACGTTGCTTCCTTCCTTCATTTTTTCTTGGGGAAGGGGGAAGCGATTTGCTGGCACTGCTTCATTTAGGAGTGCAGCGGTCTACGAAATACTTGGCCGCGGCGATGAAACGACGGAACGGGCCGAGCGAGCTGAATCAGTGCGTCGCCTCGGACAGCCCGGCCGCCGTACAGTCTTGGCCACACGTGGCTGCCTATCACTGTATTTGCAGCTGGGAGGCCGATCGAATTAAAAAGTTCCAGGAGAGCCAGGGGCGCGGCGGCGTGGCACGTCCACGGCTAGATTTCATACAACGCCCCGGACGGGCGGACGGCTGGACAGCCGTAGCAGGCAGGTTCCGAGAGTCGCGCCCGTCACTCTGCCTCCCTCGCTCCTACACCCGCGAGTGCGGAGTGCGAGAGAGACAGCGCGTCGAGAGCGACTCTCAGCCCGCGGGTCAAAGTCTCATTACCACGCTTCACTCGGCCGGCTCGGCGACTCGGCGCACAGTGGGCCAGAAGACCGGTGGATGCGGCCAATACTCCGAACGTGTTTTGAGCTCCAGAGTCGCTAAATGGGACTCGAACCGGACGTGTGACCCCACCAATGGATTGCTCTCAGAACCAGGAATCCATTGGTGGGGTCACACGTTCGGTTCGAGTCCCATTTAGCGACTCTGGAGCTCAAAACGCGTCCAGAGTTTTGGCCGCCTCCGCCGGTCTTCTGGCCCACTGTGCGGGGGCCGAGGGACGCCTCCAGTCACCAGTCGCCACCCCTGCGGCCCGTCTTTAAACCAATTTTCGGCCGGCTGCCGTGGATCAATTTTTTTTTTCTCCGTTTGGGTGCGGTGGGCCCCAAGGGTGCCCCACGAGCCCCGCTCAGACCCACCACACGCGGAGTGAAATCACTGGGTACGAACGCAGTGGCGTGGCGTGGCGTGGCGAGGCGTGGCGAGGCGTGTGCGGGTGAATAGATGCCACCAATATACGTTGCCAGTGGCCACCGCCCGCCCCGCCCCGCCTCACCGCACCCCCACCCCGCCCCGCCCCGCCTCACCGCACCCCACCCCACCCCGCCCCGCCACAGCCATATTTCTCGACGCACAAAGGCGATCAAGTGTGGGCGAGATAGCTGATGCTATTTGTTGTTGTGCCCCTCGCCAGCGCCCTGTTTCTCTCGCACCCTTGCGGGACGCCCCACGAGTGCGAGAGAGACAGGGCGCCGACTACGGCCGCGCCGGGCCGCGCGCGCGGTGTGCCG